ACTGCTGAACCATTTTCTTTCAGAAATTAGTACACGTTTCCGTAAAGCGATTTTATTTTATTTTTTTGTACTTAATTTAAGAATAAAGTTAACTTTCAAATATATGTAAACATCGACAAAAGAAAAAAAACCACCTAACCCTAATTTGAAAGTTAACGTTTTTCTTAAAAAAAAAAGAATAACCATAAAAACACCTAACTCTAATTTGAAAGTTAACTTTCTTCTTTAAAAAGAAAAATAATAACCAAAAAAAAAAAAACACCTAACCCTAATTTGAAAGTTAACTTTCTTCTTTAAAAAAAAGAAAAAAGAATAGGTGAAAAAAACCCAAAAAAAACCCATCTAACCCTAATTTGAAAGTTAACTACAAGGAATTACTGTGAAGGGAGTAAATAGGCCCAAATTGTATACGTCCACCGACAGATTTCAGCACTGAATTACATATCAATAAGACGCTAATGGCCGACGAACGACCAGAAAAAAGTCCGATTTTTTTCGGGTCTTTAACATCCAAAAAGGTAGGTTTCTTTAATATCTAATTGTTGATTTGAGTTCAGCATATACATTTGCACGGAAATAAGACTATTTGGGAAGAATTTGAAGGGATATTAGCGCTCGGGTGTTAAAATGAAAATTTACCAATCGATTTTCCATTGTTTTTCCTTGATTTAAAAAAATGTATAAATGTTAAATGCTCTTCAGCACGCAACCACATTAATCTTTTCAACAATACACCATTTACATTGGTAACCCCAACGTTTAAGGAAAAATAGCATTTGCAATAACTTTTATTAATTTATTTACACTAGTGATTATAAAATTTACCAAAAATATTTACAAAAATCTAAAATATTCTAATTTGGAATTTTATTAAAGTTGGACTCGAATAATTATTATTATAAAACAGGATGAATATTATAGAAGAAATAAAATTAAAATTCAACAATCAAAAGAAATTGATCTTCACCTTCAAGCTAATTCACTAGAGAGTTTCTCAGTTAAATAAATAAACGATAAAAATATTTTTTTTTAAATAAAAAAAGTTATGTAACGATGTTTAAGATCTTTGTTAAATAAACCAACAATGAAAATGAAATTTTTAAAAACGTTATGTCTAATTTTTTAAATCAAGAAAATAAGAGATCAAAATCATTAGAACATAAATGTCATAAAAGGGGATAAAATTCCTTGGAACATTTCCCTTTCAAGAAAGGAATGACATGAGCGACATGTGTCACGGGAAGAAAGGGAGACAACATTAACCGATACGTCAATCATGGATTACTTGCCCTTTAATGACAAATACGAGCGCTGCCATTTGAGCAGCTAAAGTGGAGAATTACCTTTCTTTTTTATTTCTTTTTTATTTATTTATTCTGTCCAAACTCTTCGATTATGTTCTAGAATGTCATTGTTCTGAAGGAGGTGGGGGGCTTATATCACAGTTAAAAACATATTTTAGTAGTTTTTACATTTTTATTTTAATAATGCAATAAATATTCATTTAATTCCATTACAAGAGTGGAACCAACTCTTTCTTCTTCTTCTCTCTCAACTGCTGCTTTTTCTTTCTGATTTTAACTCTGGCTGTCACAAAGTTTGCTCCATGCCTAGCTTTTCAAAATTAATTTAACAAAAAATGTAACTCTTCCTCCCCTCCAAATGACACCATTGCATCTCTCCTTAGAAAGACATTTGTTACTCACAATGCTCTGGTCTTTACTATAAAAACTCTCTTCTCATTTACTTAGGTTCACTAAACGAATCAAGGTAAGTTACACTTCTTCCCTTAGTTATTTATTCAAACCACATTTTACATACATTTAGCTTAGTATAGATTTCTATGGGCATTGTGGTGTAATGGATAACAAGCACGGAATGAGAAATCAGAGATCAGAGTTTGAATTTCATTTGAGTTCAATATTCACTTATGCACAAATATCCTTAAGAAAGGTATGAATCAATCTTTTTTCCCAGCATCTATGGATTGAATAGCAAGACAGACTGGATCCTATAGCCTTGGTTGGCAACCAGTCTAGTGCAGAAAGAAATAGCAACCTACTATGAGAAAATCTTCTGCCTAGTTAGTCATGACTCATAAAAAACATGATTGCCCTATTGTGTATTATGTATAGCACTTAACTAACTGAATGATACATTTCTATAATCTCTCAGCTAAGACACTTTGGCGCCAGCAGTTTGGTACAGACCCACTTTGGGAAAAGTCCAATTTGGCACAGGCCTCTTCACCACAAGTTTGCTTTAGCATAGATCCTTTTGGTGCAATTTTTTTTTTCTGAATAGTAGATCTTCCTATAGACACAAAAGGAAAAATTAATGAATACTAATCTCTGAGATATAGAATTAAAGAACTAGGTTAAGCTAACACACTAACATAATAAGTTTTTCATCTAAAACTTCAACTTTCTTCTATTGCTACAATAAAATTAAAATAAAAAGACAATAAAAATTAACAAAATATTGTAAAACAATAAAAAGAATATATGTTATAATAAAATACAAAAAAAAGTAGTTTAATTTTCTTCAAACAACCGGCTGAATCACAGTCTAATACCAGGTTTTTTCCTAAATTACTAAATATACTTAAGGGGTGTACATAGCATCATATTTTCTCATTTTGCTCCTTTAAGATCAATTTCATTGTGGGTTTTGTTGATAGACTGTGATGGTTTGTGTGTGACTGTCACTTTCAAATTAACTTATCCTAGCCATTTCTACTTGTACTAATATTTAAAAGTGGTCTCTCCTCAAAAGAACAAAGTTTATAAGATGGTGGACAACATGTATATTTGCTTTTATTAGCAAGACATAAAAAGCTCAAAAAAATTTAAACCTACTTAATCTTTTACTTTATACAGGAATTTAGTGACTGATCTCATAGCCAAAGATGAGGCGATTCTGTGTTCCATCACATATCGTTATTTTTTTCATTTTTTTTCCACACACACGTTTTTATATATATATATATATATATATATATATATATATATATTAGTTAAAAATTCTACATTGATATCTTTATTTTCATTCTATTATTACAGCTTTTCTAGAACAAAGGGCATTTAGATATAGATATTAGATAGTTTATATCCTCTGTTTAAAGAAATTTGGTTTCTTCCTATTTTACCAAATGATGTTGACATATGGGACTTAATCTTCTAATGGGCAATTAGGAGTTGGGTAGGCTGTGTGTGAGAGGATGACATACAGAGAGACAAGATGAAGTTTGAAAGTTTGACTGAAGAAAAATGAAGTAGGTCAAGTTCAGTTATTCATCAGTTCTAATTATATTAATCCACCTCTTAGAACTTAGAGTTTTAGCTCAATGCTTACATTATATTGAAATTTCTGCACATTCTAAACTTACAGAAGTTATCAAGTGTTCATTTTAAGTTTCTCTGATTATCTATAACTTTAACATTTAAACATTTTCTAGCCCTTAAATATGCAAGCAAACATTTTGTCAATACGTGGGAAGCCAAAATTTGAATATGATAGTTTTCTCTATATTTTCTCTATATTTTTTATAGATATGTCAATTGCTTACATAATGTTCAGAGAGGAAGCTACCTTTACTATGATAGTTGCCATGATACTTAATGTTTTCTTTTTTAAATTGTGTTTTATTTCTTGATATCCTTTTCATACTTAATGTATATTGTAGATACCTTTTGGACAATTTAATTTTTCTTTTTAGTCTATAGAAAGTGTTTGTAAAAGATATTATAAATATTAATCTTCTATGTTATCAGATTTTTATGTAAAATTAATCATCAGGTCACTTAATTAACTGCCATGCCAAGGTAGTCCTGTGCTGAAAAGAGGCTGCATCTATATGTCTTTCTGCATCAAGATGTTTTTATGCCAAAAAGGGTTTTCCTCACAGCGATATTGCCCTTTTGTTTTTCTTTCAGTCTCCAGTATGGAACTGTTTAATGATATACATTTGATGCCTTTTGTTTTATACAGATTCAAAATTTTAAAGTTTAACCAATTTCAACAGTAGATAATGCTACTACTACTTTTGTTACCATTTCTATTTTTAATGGAAAGATTTGAATTTCATTGCTTAACTAGCCACAAAAACTTTGCCAAGGAAAAAAATGTTTTAAAAAAGCAATGTTTCAATCTAATGAAAATACTAAGCAAAAATAATGAGTGCCAAATGGCCAAAACAGGAATTAGTCTTTAATTCTGTGAATTAATAAAGCATTCTAATTTATTCTTAGCATGGAAATTCTACTGAATGAATGAAACTCCAAATCAACATTTTGTATACAATGATTCAACAGATCACAATTGATCTACTTGTTTTTCATTAAGCCAAACGCTTGAGTAACCAATAACTTGATTGACCACCAATGCTATTAAGTTTTGAATTTATTTGAAGAGATACTGATTCTTTTTTTGCATTTATTCACTATCTTTCATTTGTCATCTTAAGAGAATCCCTTTTTCCTTGAAGATTTTTTATTACTTTTTTGATATTCTGTTTTGTTTGTTTTTTTTTTGCAGACTGTTTAACATATTTGTATACCGTTTAGAGACCACAAAAGAAAATTGAAAATGAAGAAATTTCAATTTAATTCAACATCACAATATCAAAATTCAGAAAACACAATAGAACCATTTGCAGATGAAGAAATGAATCAAGAAGTGAGAGACATGATATCTCTTGGCCTTCTTGATAAAAACTGGGCCTGTGGATTAAATGAAAAAGAAGCTGAAGTTAAACTTAATCAGGTGCTTTCAAATGGTCAAGATTCTAAATTTAGTCAAACAGAACCATTTGCAGATGAAGAAATGAATCAAGAAGTGAGAGACATGATATCTCTTGGCATTCTTGATAAAAACTGGGCCCGTGGATTAAAAAAAAGAAGCTGAAGTTAAATTTAACCAGGTGCAAAAATGGTCAAGATTCTAAATTTAGCCAAGCAGAACCATTTGCAGATGAAGAAATGAATCAAGAAGTGAGAGACATGATATCTCTTGGCATTCTTGATAAAAACTGGGCCCGTGGATTAAATGAAAAAGAAGCTGAAGTTAAATTTAACCAGGTGCTTTCAAATGGTCAAGATTCTAAATTTAGCCAAGCAGAACCATTTGCAGATGAAGAAATGAATCAAGAAGTGAGAGACATGATATCTCTTGGCATTCTTGATAAAAACTGGGCCCGTGGATTAAATGAAAAAGAAGCTGAAGTTAAATTTAACCAGATACTTAATAGCCAAAACAGTGCAACACCAACCCCAAAAGTATGTTCCAATGTAAAGAAAGAAAATATTCATACAAAGGATAAGAATTTCAGAAAGATAAAACAGTATAAACTCATAACTTTGTGTCGTGGGGATCAAACTTTTCAAGATATATTTGGAGACTTTAAAAACTGCCAGATTGGCAAGGATATTAAAACTATTCAGTATGTTGAGAATGAAAAACAAAAGAGATTATTTCAAGAGGAGATCAACCAAGTAAAAAGACTACATGGAAATGGTGAGATTTTTTTTTTTTTGATAACTTTTACCTTCCTCAATAATATTCTGTCCACTAATTCTTCTATGCTTTTAGTGTATTTAAAGAATTTTTTTTTTTAAATTTTCAAAACTTATTTAAGGAAAAAAAAAACACCTTTGACACCAATAAATATGGTAATTGTTGAAGAAAACTAGTGTGTTTAATATGTGTTTAAATAGCAGATGTGTATTTTGTTATTTTGCTTGGAATAAAATAGTACAGGTTTAATATTTTTCATATTTCTTACTAGTTACGAACAACAATGACTGGTTTAGCCACAAAAACAACTTAAGAATTTTATGTTATATTATCAACATTTTCAAGTTAAACCAATTTCAAAATTAATCAGCCCATATTTTACTAAATGGACTTTTTGTTATCTATAATTCATACTATTCTTAAACATTTTACCAAATTGAATAAATCATTATCATTAATTTATTTCATACTTAGCAGATGTTGACTTGTTAAAACTAAAACCTGTTTTTACAAATGTTTTGCAGATTTTTTATCTTGTTTCAGAATTTGATCTGCAAATTAAAGAATTATATCATGCAACTAAAGCTCCGAGAAATCTGATTTGTTCTCGTGGACTGGATCAACGACTCAGTACAGTTGGGTTGTTTGGCCGAGGAATTTATTTTGCGTAAGTTAAAAAGAGTATTATATAATTTTTATTGATTAGAACGAAGTGGTCAGAGTAGGAAAGACAAAAGAAAATGAAGACAAAAACACAAAAAAGAACCAATAAAAGAATGAAAAAAATTAAAAAAGATTCAGATAAGAAGAGAGAGAAAAGCCAAAGAAGAGAGAAAAAAGACAAAGAAGAGAGAAAAAGAGAGAGAAAAAAATACAAAGAAAGAGACAACAATTAAGTAACAACAAAGAAAACCACGTACATATCAAATTTAAATGTCACTATTTTCTTGATATATTTTGGCTATTTTTTTTTAAATTACAAGTTGTACATTATGTCTTAGTGTTGTATTGCTCTATGACATGTGTTCTGTAGTCAACTTCTTTTCTTTCTCTTATACACTTTGTATTTTCTACTTAACATATACAAATAGGTAAAATCCTATTTACCAATCCACTACTCCTCTCTGAAGAGGTTTAATGCCTTTGGTTGTTCTCAAACTTATTCTACAACCTCTTTCTTCCTCTCCCCCTTGAAGTTTATGGCCTGTTCTTTTCTTCTTTGTCTGAGTCACTCCTGATCTGAAAAACTTATCCTTTCTTCTCTGTCAAGTGCTTCTTCCATCACAACGTCTTCCACTTCAATTCTGGATCTTACTTGGTCAGAATATGTTATTTGGATTCTTTGATATAATGGTTGTGTTATGTCCCCTTTACATGATAAAATTAGCTCTCTTGGGACTTGCTACTTTGTCTTCCTTATGCCACATCTTTCATTTATCAAATAAGACATTGTTAATGGAGATCTTATTTGTCTTCCCATTAACACAGATGGGCTTTGTAATCTGTCTGTGGAATTGTCCTATAACTAAGCAGTTACATTGGTATGTAACCATCTGTATTGTCTCTACCTGGGAAAGATGTTTCCATTTTCATTGTCTGCACCATTCTTTCTACAATCCCATTAGATTGTAGGTGATATAGTGGTCTTTTGTAAGTGAAGCAACCAATCTGCCACAAACAATTGCATAGATCTTCATTGCAAAACCCTGTTGCATTGTCTGATACCAATGTTTTAAGAACCCCCCACACACCATTTCTAGGAAGTATTACTCTTATTATTTGTTTTATTGTAGTTGTTTTTATCCATTTTTAACTTTAAAGTCTTCAGGCCATCCCAAAAAGGAGTCTACTAAAATTAGAAATAGTCCCATTCCATTAATATATGCATGGTTCTGTTTCTTTAGGCCATGAGTGTAGTCTCATTTGTTGAAAATTCTTTATTTCTGCATGCTTTAGACATTTCTCTACATATCTTTCTATGTATCTTGCGATAATACTCTGGCCACAATGCCTCCAATTTTCCTCTAAATAGTCGCTATCCCACAATGCACATCATCATGTACACTTTTGAAAATATCTCTTCTTACTGTTTCTGGTGATACAATCACATCTCTATTGCATATAATGCAATTTTTCATTGTTAATTTATACCTTATTTCTTTATAAGGTTTTACAGGTTTGGAACAATTACTCCACCTGTTTCTTCTTATTCTTTCAGCAATCATCCTTAATATTGGATCTTGTAGAGTTTTTGATACCAATCTTTGTAGAGATATGTCAGTTTTAACCCAATGTAATATTTCTTCATACAGGATTTCCATTTTCTCTTTTTGATCCTTATTAAATTGAAACCTTGACAGTGCATGAACATGTGGTATTGTATTTCTTTTTACATACTCAATTTCAAAATCATAAGCCATCAATTTTATTACCCACCTTAGAATTCTGGAAGAAGTAACATTTGTTAGCTCCTTTCTAGGTTAAAAATAAACTTTAGAGGTTTGGCCTGACTTTAACAGCAACTTTTTACCTAATTGTAAAACTGATCCTCTCGCATGGTGTCAGTTGTAACGCAATCTCTAGTCAAGGTGTCCATGTGACACTCTATCCTAACCCCACTGGGCCAACGTCATCCACAAGATTAGCTACTGGTCCTGTATTGTCTAGTATTACAGGTTAGACCTAAGTCTCAGGTTTCAAATGTCAAATTGATTCCACTCACCAGCCACTGGCGAGTATTTTTCAGGTCATAGAATTCTGAAAGCTCTCCGTTGGTCTACCTGCAAGCTTATTGGGTGAGAATTGGGTTAACAGCAAATAAATATGACCAAGTTGATCCGATTTTAGAGAGACAAAAGTTTTTTTATATATATATAAGATCAACAATACATATAATAATAATACAATTCTTGTGGCAAAAAGGTGAATGTCTCTTGTATATGAACTAGGATCAACAAAACAAAAAATACTTTGTAATTTCATTAAAGAAGAGGTCACTTCATTTTAACCCTTTTTCAACTGTCTTAGTGCAACTGCTACCACTGTCAATGTTCCCGTCCTCAGTAGTAGTAATGGTAGTAGTAATATTAGTGTTAGCAGGAGCAGCGGTACTTTTCTCAACAGCACATGTTAGAGGGCGCTTTGTTCCAATCTCTGACATCACTTCCTCACTGACTCTAATCCATCTCTGCTCCTAACCCAACTTTGCTCTTTATATAGGGAACTGATGATGTATTTGTTTTTTCTATGGCGAACATACTGACATGAGGAATGGAGTCAACCCATTTCCCGGCACACTACTAAATTAAAAGACTTCACAGTCATTTTATCTTTCGGTACCCTGACTACTGTCATTGTTCTAAGTTTATCTATTAATAGCTCTGAGCAATTTTGGTAAACTTTAAATAGATTCATGCTGTCTTGTTTTATCAATAAAATTAACCTTTAGATCAAGACATTCCTAATTCTATTTTCTATTAATAATCTGATCTCTTTTGTATGCTTGAAAAAAAAAAGATTGTATTTCTTTCTCTAAATAAAATCTGTAACATTAATATTTCAATGTTTTTAGAGCATATCAACATCTTAGTTATTGAAAAACGCCTCTCTTCACTTGGCATTTTTTGTTTCACAGCATCCCTTTTCATTATTATTATTTCGGGGTGATATTGCCCTCACCCCATGCCAGATCATAAGAATTGTCATACTCTGTCTGTGCTTCAAACAATAGCCAATTCCTCTTTTTCAATATTTGGATAATTTTGTCTGCTGCCGTCGGTCTTCTTGAAAGGCACATTATTAGATTGCCTTCTTGCAATAAAATTGCTGACACAACTCACTTGTATCTATGGTTAACATAACCTTCTTTCTGGGATCAAAGATTTTAACAATGGGATTTTCTATGAGTATCTCTTTTAAATATTTGAACTCTAATCTTTGCTTTGAGTTCATTTGAACTCAGTATTCTTTTGACTGTTGAAGTCAGTGTTAAATTTCTTCATGGTTTGTTTTAGAACATCCTCGAATCTCTTTTGATTTCTTCTTTTCCGATTTCCTTCTTTGAGTTGGGAGTAAAAGATTTGCTTTGGTAGGCAGGTGTTATCCCTTCACACCAGATGTCCACTCCATTGAAGTTGGTGATGATGAAGGCTTTAATGCTGGTCATTTCGGCTTGGTCCAGTCTGCTGACGTTAATTCTTCTGTCTTCCAAAATGATGTTCAAGATACTATGAAGACTATGCTGGTGAAATTTTTCACAAAATTTCAGATGTCATCGATAAATTGTCCAGGAGGAAGATTTATATTCCATTCTGCAGCCTCTTTACCACTATTTCAATGTTGTTCAGATGAGCACTCCATTCTTTAGTTCCACCATTTCAGTCCTTTATGCTTAGAACACTCCATGTTACTTCCACATAGTTGAATCACCCTCATTCCCCAACCACATATTGCAAATCTGAGAAAGAAAGAAGTTTGACTCAAACAACTTTTTCTGAAGAACTGCTACTTTGTGAGATAGACTCCATGTGTCTTCTTCCCTCAAGGGTCAATCATTAAAAACTCTCTAAATTGACATCTCCACTTTTCATCATATCAAAACCTCATTTGTCATTTCAACTGTAACCCTCTATTTTGATTATTTTCTCAATTTTTTTGTATTTTCTCACATGTTAATTGAAATTGATGATTTTTTTTCTTCCAGTGATGATGTGAGGAAATGTGAACAGTATTATATAATGTCAAACCTTTTGCTATTTACAAATGTTCTGTGATTCTTGGGGATATTAAAAATAAGATTTTGCTTTTCATTTTTCTTATGCTTTTATTTCATTTGTCATTGGTTGAACATAGTTTTTTTTAGGGGAAGACATTAGTCATTTTTCAATTTGCTATCATTACTACATTTAAAGTCAAATTCTGTTGAAACACTCATTTTCACATTTCACTGCTATTTGTGATTTTTATAAAATTACTAGAACAGAATGTATGGTCATTAGTGTCAGCCAAATAAATAATCATCAAATTGGAAATATTGAAAAAACAGGTAAAGAAATTTAGGTATTGTAGTAACTGACAAGAAAAAAGTGTAGGTACCTTCATTTGGTAGCAAAAAAAAATAGCATAGCATGTTGAAAATGTCCCCAAACATAATAAAAACAAAGTTTTATATCAAAATGTTTATTATTAAGAGGAAAGACCAATTTATTTTTTTTATTATTTTATTAAATTTTTAATCCTTTCTAGCACATTCAAAATTTTGGTTAAAAATCTTGTTATTTTTATGTTGGCAATCAAAATAATATTTTGATTAGTTTTTTAAATTTTTTCCAGTGAGAAACAATGATTTGGAAATTCTTGAACAAATCAAATAATTTCAGATTTTAATGAACAAGGACTTATTCACAAAAGAATGAAATTATTTTGGAAATATTTTTTTTAGAAAATTTTAGTAAAAAATATATATCTAATATGTGTTAACCCCAACTTATTTAATTTCATGAAATTTTAAAAAATTAAATTTTCTTTCCCAAATTTTTTTATTAGTTAAAAGCAGGACTTCTTGGAGAATGTAAATCATCAATTTTTCTCTTTCAAACTACTGCTCATTTCCTAAAAAGCTGCTCCAAATCATAAAATAAAAATGCAGTAAAACTGACATTATTTAATTAGAAAAGCTTTTAATTGCCTTTATTAAGGATGCTATTGTCTTAAGAAAAATTTTTTTTGATAAATTATGAATTTTTACAGGAATTATTTTCATTTTTTAAAAAATTTTAGTTATAATTTATCATTTAAATACTGCATTACTTTTTTTCCAGTTAGATGATATTATTTAGTAGAGGTGCTTAAAAAAAGAGTGACACAGATCTGAAAGTACGTCAGAATAGATGCCATCTGAAAACAAAGCAAAGTATTAAGAGACAAGTGAAATTTCATTAGAAATAAAGAATCAAGTACTATGTCATATCTACTTTCCAGTATGCCAGTGAATGCAAAAGTAAATAGTGTTTAATATCTTTGTTGTTAATTCTCAAAACCAAAGTAAATGTATAAATTTACATTTATAGGTTTGAAACAATATTTAACATACAGACGAAAAGGCTTTTAAAAGATGATTTTATTTTTTTTGTTAGAAAGGAGTTAATTTTCCCAGGATGGTGAGAACAGGTGTACAAATTCTGTTGAAAAAAATACACAATACAATTGTTACTGGTCAGTGAGACACAGCTGGCAGGTTTAGGGGCCAGGGGTTAAAGTCATCTGTTGAAAGGTGTCAGCATCCACGTACTGGGAAAATTGTCAGCCAAAATTTCCCTGAAAAAAAAAATTATAATTGTGAAAACAGAATGAGCAATTGTGAAGGTGGGGAAAGACATCAGGAAGGCTGACATTATATAATGGCTCCTCCTGGAGGAGCAGCGATCTTCCAAAATTGTAAGTGTGAAACAGAATGAAAGAAGGAGATGTCAGGAAGATTGACGTCATATAATGGCTCCTCCCAGAGGAGGGGGATCTTCCAAAATTGGACGTGTGAAACAGAAAACGAAAGGAGGAGACTGGTTGAATTTTAGGAGATTTGCATAAACCCCCTTATGCGCCTGCACCATACCATTTGGAAGGGACACCCATAAATACAAGTGCCCATAGGCGCTAAAGTAGTTGGAGTTGAGGTTGCAGTTCGAAGTTGCAGTGAGTTATGTGGACGAGGAGTTAAGAGATTTTTTTGCCAACCTAATAATAATAATTGACTCTGACGATATCCTTGTGCCGTTCTTGAAAGTACAAACAACAGTACTTGAAGAAATTCAGTTGTCAAGTCTGGCCATCCTTAGAGGAGTTAGATGAAATTGTCGTTCCATCGTCAAATATTAGAAATGGGTTGGGAAAAGAAAGAAAAAGAAAAAAGAACCGTAAATATTTTTTTCTAGTGGTTTATTTGAGCGTCATCTATTTTATTTTCAATTTTGTGTGCACGTATTCAACTCCTTGGTTTAGTTTAGTTGAGATACCCCAGTGATAATTCAACTTGACCCTCTTAAGATCAAAAATCACAATGTGTGTAAAAGAGGTCATAGTTGAAGAGGTCAACTTAAAAACCAGCTGCAGTGTCAAACGCCACCAACAACTGATGAGTGTGTGCTGACGGCTTGTTCTCTGATACCAGGATTGATCCTGACCAAAGACAGCAGACTACAGTCTCTGCTATGCCTTCATAGGTTTGGGTCTTATTGAAATTCTAATCATTGCTTTTTAAAACAATAAAGATAGCTGAGGTAGTTTAGGGTGTATACAATAGTAGTGGTGTCAAAGAAAAATCATCCTTTTGACACACTGTTTTGTCTACAAAAAAACATTTTAGGTTTTGACAAAAAGTTTTAACTTAGCCAACAATTCAAATTTATTTTCTTTCTAGGTTCAACATCATCATTCAAAACTATAAAAATTAAAATTATCATCGTTTGATTCTAATTACATGTGAAATTAACCTAACAATGTTGAAGATGTGTTGCCAAAAACAAGATATTATCATAGTGTCATTGTTTGTTCCTTTTGCTTTACAGACAAAATAATATGGATATTCTTTTTTTTTAGTGGAGAGCAGAAATATCTCACAGTTTGTTTACATCAATAAATATTGCCTTTTTTCTTTTTTTTTCACCCCCAAGGAAGATGATAATGCCACTAGTATACAGGGGATTACAGGAAATGAAAGAGAATGAGATTGGAGAGGATTGAAGAAAGGGCAAAAATGGAACAGGGTTCCAGATGACATAAGATGTTGATTGACATTGCATTTAAATTTTTGAAGGTTGTAGTTATCAGGGAAGTGAGAAGTTCAAAGGGAGTTCCACAGGTGGAAAGTGTGAGAAAAGGAACTGTTACATTTAGCTAGTTGAACAGTAAAACAGTGGGACCTAGTTGCCAATCAAGTAGCACATTTAAATTCATGTAGTCAGGACACAAGCAAAAAAAGCTCCTCAGAACTGTTGCCTTGAAAATATTTGCAGAAAAGACAATCTATGTCATGTTGGTGAGAAAGTTGATATGACTGGTCAGGATCGATTACATTACAGACAGTGAAAATTTAAGTTGCATAAAACAGAAAAGAGTTGGTATGAAAAATTTTATTTGCATATGAAAAATAATGGAATGTTTTATTTTTGTTTTTCATAGGAGTACCCCGATGGAAAAGCAGATCCTGAACTTAAACAAGAACCTGAAAAAGAAAATGGAGACTACTATGATTCTGTCAAAGTAATTTGTTGTTTAATCACTTTTCACATTTATTTTGACTTAAAAATGGCAGTAGGCCTATATGTTAAATGGTTTAAATAGTGCACTTTTAAACATACTTGGTTGGAAAATATTTTTAAAGTAAAGAGACAGTAAATTTTGTCTTTCTGCTATTTCTCCTAATCTCTGTTTAAGTCCTTTGTAGCTCTTAGTTACAAAGGACATGAAGTTTGGAGATTCCACATCTTGAAGAAGAACTTTCTTGCAACACATGTGTTTCTTAAACAAGATTTGTTCTCTTAGAAGCAATTGATCAAAAATTATGCTGCAAATTAGAAATTGGATATTATATTTTGAATGTTTATTGTTTTAAATGAATTTATAAAAAGAAGAGATGAAATAAAAGAGAGAAATTAAGTAAATGGTAAAATAAACTTTGGGTGATATTATTTGTATGAAATACAAGTTTTGTCTGGAAGAGTAATACTTTTGGGAAGTTTTATACAAGTTTAATCAACATGCCATATTTTGGATAATTGTATCAGGAAGTAATAAAGATGCCATTCTAAATAAGTTCCATTCCAAGGTGGATGATTGAAGTAAATAATTTAACCATGCTGGTACTTGTATTTAGTACACAAGAGTACTAAATATATACTGATGGCTGACACTTTGAGTAGTTGTGATAAAAATCATCTAAAATTAAGATTAAAGGAATATTAATAAAAAACAAATGAATTATGGTAGGTACAAGAACTCCTACAGAAGAAAAGAATAAATATCAATTGCAAAAAGACGGAATGTATGGTTGTTAGCAAAAGGGATGAAAAGTATGAAAATTAGTGATATCAAAATCAAACTACAGTAATTTAAATATCTGGGAAGTGTTTTAACAGAGTACAACATTAAAATCTGAAAGTACATTGAGATAGCGAAAAATACATTCCAAGAACTAAGCAACATATTAAGAAAAAAAATTTCATTAGAAACAAAAGAAGTATTGAAGTGTTATGTAATATCAGTCCTCCTATATGGCAATGAATGCTGGACAATTTCCTTAAATATGAAGAGCATACTTAAAGCCATGGAAATGTGGTTCTACAGAAGGATACTGAGAATACCATGGACTGAACATGTGAGCAATAACAGAATTTTAGTGAAAGTGGAAACAAAAAGGACAGTGATACTTAACATTAGCAAGAGATAGTTTTTAGGGAAAATAATGAGGAAAGAGGGTTTGGAAAATTTGATACTCACTGGAGTGATTGAGGGCAAAAGGGACATCATAAAATGGCACATGACCTACATAGTGGGCTTATGTAAGTAGATGACAGAACAAGGTTTAGGAGAGAAAACAAAAAGACAAAATTTATTAGGAGTTACAAAGGACAGGAAAGGGAAATGGCATATAGAAGACAAAGGTCTGTTAAGATGCAACCAAGATATTTTTAATTTTGGTTTTTTAAGTTCCTTCTTTATTTTTTCTTTTAAATGTTATTTGAAGAGAAACTGCCAAGTTGGATAACAAATGAAATTTCTTTTTTAGTCAAACAAGGAACTCATCCCACTTGTATTTGTACTTACAAACCATTGAGGCTAGCTAGTGAATTTTTTATATGTTTTCATCATTAAATCATACATACATATAAATTGTATGACTTGATTAAGTGTTTTGCTTTTATTTGACCACACTTAAAACTGACATATTACTTTGAATGTAATGTGATCCTATGTAGTGTCACCATGTTGCTGAATATTCAGCAACATGGTGACACTACATAGGCATCATGTTTTTATATTTTTATAGAATTTATCATCTTTCAGGAGAAGGGATTTTCATTCCTGATATTATTTGTTTTATAATATATAACAAACCTTCTTTTAAATTTTTCAGGGAAATATGGATGGCTTCAATGAATACGTAATATACGATAATCGTAGGTGCCTAATTAATTACAGAATTGTCCTTGAAGGTACTGAAGATGAAGACAGCGACAAAGAAGATGAGATTGCAAAAGAAGAGAAAAAAGAGGAATTTATGGAAACTTGGAAACGTCATATGAATTTCTTGGGTATATACATAGTTTCTATGTCTTTTATTATTTTTATATTTTTATTATTATTTTTTATTATTGACAGCTGAGAGGTTACTTTTAAGCTTGTTTTTATACTTGAGCCATGACTGTAAAGTTACCTTGCATTCTGTACATTAAAAAAGTAAAGTTTATCACCAACTATTATTTTGCTGGAATAACCTTAAATTTCTTTCCCTCTCTCTGTCATATGTCCCTTCCGAATGTGGGTGGTTATGACTCTCCATAGCAAAAACTGTTTTTTGTGACCCCTTTTTTCTTTGTAAGATTTGTTCCTCTATTCTTTCAAATTTGGCAAGTTCTGGGTGGGGGTTTCCATTTCAAAATCAGAAGAGATGCACTTCCTCTGCAAACAATCTTCTGCATGCACAATAGCAGTGCTCTCCATTGACAAACCTGATTTTCACGTGGAATTTGATAAGTAACATAATGAGTGGACTGCATCATGGAAATGGACAAGATGGCAAAGCACTCTGCAAATTGCAAAGCAGCACTGATGGAAGTTAGGAAATCCTATAAAAAAAGATTTGTGTTAATGGGTCAAGAAAGGCTGGATTATTCCCTGTGATGAATGAAAATTAGGACTCTGAAAGGACTTTTTTCTGTGAATGGTCATTGTGCAACGAAACAAATTGAAGGTGTAGCCTCTAATGAATTACCAGGCACTTAACCTCCACATTGACACATAAACATCAGACGCTGATGTTTGCACCAGCAAACTAAGAGAGTGGAGACAGCAAGGGTCAAATGTGGCACTAGTGGACCTCAGATCTGTCTACCTACAAGTGTATATTAATGAACAACTTTGACCCTACCAGACAGTTATTTCCCAGGGCAGAAGGTACTGCTTGACTAGATTGGGTTTTGGGTTGAACATCCAACCCCCCAATCATAAAATCTATTGTCAAAGTAGTGCTGTCTCAGGCAGAAGACATAAAAAGGCCACCTCATCATATAAATAATTGAAATAAATTGTCTTTGTGGTATATGTACCAACATTCATTTACACAAACTTGTCAAGTAGGTGACCCACTGCTTAAACATGGTTAGCTCTGGTATTGTGAAATGCCAAAGGAGCTTCAGCAATTCTTGTCCCTGACCACATATCTGTGTGAGAAAACCTATACCGTATTCTCTTTGATTGGGTCAATAAATTCCCACACTCTCTACTTTCCTGTGCTTCTCTTGCCTTCAAAAAATCATTACAATTACTCAAATACATCATATAAATCTATTACAATTTTGGCTGTAGCCCTCGACATTGAGTGGCACTTGAGTTTTGCTTTGGATGATAGACAAATGTTACCAATTGTTTGTATAAAAGGAAGTAAAATCCTCATTTTTATTAAATATATAAAATCCTTAGATATATTAATATCTCATATTATCATTAACTGCTTGTTTAACTCCTAAAATGAAAAGGTTAATGAGTCTACTCTGATTGACCATTGATATTAACTTTTAAATGTAATATTCATCATTCAGTAACCCAACATAAAGCAGCCTAACAAACCAAAATGAAAGTGTTTCATATTCAACGTACTTTGCCATTTTTTGCAGTTGACTCATGCAAACATGATGATGAAGAGGATGCAGAAGTAGAGCAAGAAATCTGTAACATTGAAAAAATTCGACTTGAGATTCGCATGAGACGAGAAATGAAAACAGGAAAACCACTGAGTAAATTGTCTTATGTAAGTAAAGTATATGCAATGTTTTTAGGAAACATACAAAAAACATTCCAGTTGATTGTATTGAAATATGTTCCTAATTATCACATAGCATTTTCATTATAATTTTCCCCCTTAAAATACATTGATCTCAAACATAGTTTTGGAATGGAAAATATCTAAGGTTTCAAGTTGGAATATTTTTTTTTAAATCATTGCTTTTAACAGCGTTGAAAATAAAAGAATGAAATAAAAAAGCATTTGGAAAAGATGTAATATTAAAGTGGGTAATATTAGCAGAGGCAGTCAGTAGTGACACATCATTTTTGGGGGTTGACATTGTACCAATAAGCTGCTTCCATTATGGACCATAGGTTTCTCACCACAATTCATTTTACACTTTAATGACATTTCTCCATTTCCCGAGGTGATGTGTGCACAGTGGAACCGGAAGTTGACTCCCCATTCATTTACAAAGACCCTGACAAGCTTACTGCGAAATACATTGTCAAAGAGTATCAGAGTTGGTGGGCTATGCTCACAGAATAGGGCCTCTAAATGGTTGATAATACTTGCCACATTTTTGCCGTTTCAACAAACCACAGTCAACAAATGACAAATAATTCCTACCTTTGTAGTTGGTTATGCCCAGTCCCATTCTGCACCACTTGTCACTGACATCCAATTCTCCTTTCATCCAATGTGCAGGTAGTGAGTCAAATCGACTGACACTCCTTGCATTTCTTCACAACTTCTTTCACTGATGGCTTAGAGACTGTGGAGTTGACCTTCCTGACAAAGTACATCCACCTTACACTAGGATGACCATTTCATCTATTGACTTGTTCGTTGATGCAGCACAAATGTAGTTTTGGAGCTTAGCTAATTTTTTTGATCAAATCAATCCATCACTGTGGCACTCCCATCAGACTTTGAGCTTGGTTATATCCGCCAAAAATTTGTACTCTTCGTCCAGCTTTTTGAGCATATTGAGCCATCATCTGACAAACATTTTGCTTGCGACTTTCATACATATCCTGGCCTTTCCTGTGAGGGTGTCCTTGATTTATTTTTATGCACAAGAAGTCAGTGAAAATGTTCAACACTGTTGTTTCCCCACATCAATGCCATATTGACATCTTTTAAAAAAATTTTCTAGCTCTGCTAAATTTATATGCTGTACATCTTTCTCTTTGGGCAACCAGCTTACATCTTCCACAGTGGGTTCATTATGCTCCTCCAATATCCAGAGTGCTTTCATCAACCCACATATTAATCTCGGGCCCATCAACACACCATTTGCCTCACACAGGGTTCTCTTGGTGCACTCTTACAATGACTTTTATCATTGTGGTTAAAGGAGCATCATCCACCTTATCTTCCTTGCTGCTGCTGCTCACCTCTTAATGAATTCTGCTGTTACTCTAAGCCATCCACCTATTGGAAACTACCCAATCAGTTTTCTGCACAGTGAGAACACACTACGTTGAGTCATGCTGGGGACATTTTTCCCATCACTTCTCCCAGATTTTCAAGTGAAGCACTTGCAGTCTTTTGTTCATTCCATTTCCTTGCTCACCAGCCCAAAGTTTACCAGATGTTGCTTCACACTGGTTGAAAATACTATATTCTCATTGATGTAGATATTATCAATGTATGCCAATGTTCCTTGCTGGATAATCTCATCTTTTGATAATACAGCATCTATAATGGCTCACATGATAGATGGTGCCACTTTGAGTCCAAAGCCCATGTGTGTCAAGCAGTATCCTCTCCCCTCAATAATCAGTTTGGTATGGCTACAAGGATCAGTGCACATGCACTTGTAGGTAGGCCTTTTGGGGATCAAGTACTGATAAACTGAATCTTTTTTTTCGACATTCTCTCAGTTTTTGTGCACAAGTGTCATCATGGTCTGTGTATGCATCAACATGTCCATTCAATTCATGAGAGTCTAATACAGGATGCACATTTTTCTTATTTTGCTTCAACTGAATCAAGCCCTTTGGTGGGCCAAGTTGCTTCTCAGGATAAGGAAGAAGCCATCCATTACCCAGCCACATCTGCAGCTCATGCTGGTTTGCATGTGAGCAGAGATTGGATATTCATGTGTCAAATTATTGGGTGGTTGGGAAATTCTGAACATGTCTTCTACCTACCATATCCTTTTTCTAAGTGAACAAAATGGTTTATATCCTTCCTTTTATACCACTGATTGCCATGCTATCTAATGGACACTGAGAAATGTCCACTGACATACAAGATAGAGTAATCTATGCCACAATGCCTCATGTATCTTTTGACAATTTCAACATGTCACCACTTTTTCAAATAGGGTGAGTAAATAAAGAGTATGAAAGGCTACATTATACCCTCTCTCTGTCATGTCTTAGTACCTTCCTCATTGCACTAAAGAAAGAACATCAGTAGAATTTCAACAGTAGTGCTACAGTGGTCATGGATGCCTCACATAAAAACTACCATGTGCCGAGTCCTTGAGGGGTGGGGGATGTTAGTCAGCAAATAACAAGCTTGCCACCTTTTTGTTGGCTGGTGATATTACATATCTCTCTTGTGTCTCTGTCTTCGGACAAAGTGCAAAAAAAGAATTGAGGAATTGAGGAATATTTGGTCTCAAGGATTATAAATTTTTGGCAGCAACTCCCTCATTGCATTAATTTCTAATCACAGACAACAAGAAATTAAAATCTAATCACAAACATTTTTTTAAATTTTTGTCAGGATTTGCTGCGTGAAGAGAGAAAGAAATGGAAGTCTTATATTTCGAAAGCTGAAAACAAATCCGTGAGTAAGGTTTTTTTTTTCTTTATTTCTTTTAGTTTAAAATTGTATGTTGAATACAAAACTGTCAGAGAATGTTTATTGGTACATTTATTTAATATTAATTATATTAACAAAGTAACTAGATGTAAAAGTCAGAATACCACACATACACATACATATAATCTAGATAAAAACAGACATATAATAGTACTTAACATCTACTATCCTCAAAATATTATACAATCTTAACAACATCAAAAAAAAATACAACCACATCCAAAACTATTATGGATATAATCAGAACCAAAAATACTCCTAACAATAATAATTCTGAAGCATGTATATATAAAATAAATTGTCACAACTGCTCTTCACAATACATTGGGGAAACTTGCAGAAATTTAAAAAAAACATATCTATGAACACAAAAAAGACCTTATACACAACAATTTATCAAATGTATTTGTTATAGATAGAAATAAATTCAATCACAACTTTGATCTAATGAATGCCACACTTCTTAAAAGAGAAACTAACTTACTTAGACAGAATTTCCCAACAGTGCCATTATCGAATCTTATCAAGCCAATCTACATGAATATAAAAATGTTAAAAAATTAAAAGTAAACAGTTAAATTCATAACCTCCTGTTATTTCAAATATATAATACATGAATTTAACCCATACTAAAATAATTGAAATATTAATTGCATGAAAGAAAATCTAACAACATCATTTACTCACTTACGTTTATGAGACATTAAATTACGTAATTACTTGTCATCCTCCATAATTTATTGAGACTCTTCAGTTAACCTGATGAATTTATTTGAGCATTTCTTAAATTTAAAAATTTTGAAAACTAATATTTTTGCTTCTGTTTATAAATACTTGTTGCAAAATAAAATCCTTATATTTGCCTTTATGAAGTCCATCAGAGGATGAAACACATCGGCCAAGATAAATTTTACTTTTGTTTTTATTCATGTTGACCTTTTACAGATATATTTTTAGTTATATCTGAAATTTTACACAAACACACATATATATATAATTAATATAAGTAAAAGATTTGTCACTTAGCTGATTGATGTTACTTTCAGCATTACGACTTCCAAGTTTTGTAGACAGATTCGTCCACTCATCAGGGGGGGTGTAAGCCGACAAAGAAAATTTAATAAATCTTTTATTGAGTTTTTCCAACATTCTAACATTTTTCCATTTTTCAGGGGTTAAAGAATGTAAAAAATGTCCATAGTTGTTATTATTCTATGAACTTTTGGCTAGTTCTATAATCATTATCAAGGATGTTGTTTTGGTATGGTGAGTTTTATGTGTTGTCTTCTACATAATAGGTTAGCTGTATGAAGATCTGTGAAGGAGTGTATGCCTTTTTCAGTGGTCACATGTTATGCACGACTGGATGACCTGGGCATCACTTCTATTTTTAGAAAACCTACATTCTCTACTACTAAACAGTGTAACAGGGGATTGTTATTTAATCAATAATGCTTCCCAAATTATGAGATATCTATGACAATGTGAACTGGCGTTTTTTTTTATATGTGTCAGTGGTAAATTCATTGGATTTTAACGCTATCTCAGCGTCAAGGAATAGGTTCTTGTTATGTACCATGGGATCATATGTGAATTTTAGTGTTGAGTTTTTTCCAAATTTGATTTTAAAACAAAAATGTATCTTGTGTAGATTTCATTTTTATCAGTTGTTTCAAATACTTTGTTTTCAATGTCAAGCATGTAAAAATTAGCAAAAGTTGGGTATAAAGAGTTACCCATGCTAACACCATTATTTTGTACATTATTTACATTATTCAGACTATTGTCCTCATCTTTGTCGCCATATGTATCACGTTTCGGCTGTTGTACGTTCCGGCCTTCTTCAGGTGGTTGGAATTTCGAACTGAACCCTTTATTTCGCTCACTGGGGTAGACTGTTCTAGTTCCACGTGCCATATTTGATGGATGTCAGTTATCAGTTATCTCCTGCTAATTTCCCTCTGAAAGTTCTCCTCTGCCTTAACCAGGTATTGAACTCACACTCTTTGGGTCCTGTCACTGGATCTAACCAATGCCTTTGTGTGACACTTCTATGTTTCTTAAGCAAGTTCTGGTATCTTAAGTCAACTGGTTTAGTTTTTAGGTGCTGGCTTGGGTTCGTTCATCAGTATAACTTACTATTGGTAGGATAGACGAAGTCGGAGGTTGTGGAATCTCTCAGTCAGTTTCTACAAGGCAACACTCTGGTTCCTGTTACTCGAACTGACTGGCTGTCTCAACTGGAACTCAACTCTGACTACCACTGTCGAACGGCCTGAGGACGTTCGTTTATATGAGTACCAATTAAAAACTGGTGCGGGGTTAGACGCAGACTGGGGTTTTCAGTATATTTTGATTTCTGACAAAAATCTCTTTGTTGTCAGGCCAGGAAAATTAATTACTTCCCATTTTTGGAAAATTAATCATTTTCCATTTTGTGGGGATCTCTTCATCTGTGAGAAGTCTCTCCTCACATTGATACCTCGTACCAATCCCTTCAGTGGGCGTTAATAACTTCTCCCTCCATCTCATCAAATTACCTCTGCCTATCACCATTGCTACCACTCAACCAATGGCTAGCCTCCTTAAAATTATAACTCAGAATTTTTGTTTGTTTTTTATGAATCACACATTGCTACTTAAATTCTCTCAGATCTTTTGGTCACTAAGAGTCTTCTTAACCAGCACTCTTAACACATTCCCTTCCCAGTCCCTTCATGAAGTTAACTTTTACTGGAACCCTTGACTTCTTGAGAAATTAAATTTCTTATCTCCCAAATCACGATTCTTCCACGATATCTTTTCTCATGCCCAAAATTTTATAATCACCATATTGCTACACAACATGTCAGCATCTGAAGACGTCACTTTGGAAAAGTAAACAATAACAATTCTCTCCACCCCGTATTGGAATAAATATTTTCTCATGCCAAAATTTTTATGAATCACACATTGCTATATGGCCCTGCCTTGCTGGCACTCAAGAAAAATTATATCTTCGGAAGACAGTTAATATTCTCTTTATCCTGTATCGGCAAATCATCTCATGCCGAAATTTTTATGATCACCATATGGCCTGCCCGATATCTCAACGCTTTGCTTTTTTCTGAATCTCGTGTTCTCTGGCAAGTATTTTTTTACAAACAACATTAATCAATTGTCAAAAAGCTCGCATATGGCTTTTCTGTGAGTCTAATGTCTATGCCAATTTACAGGTCTTTGAGAGAGTACTCGATTTTATTCTAAAGTAAAAAAAAAAAAAATTGTGGGGTATCTTCTTTTCCGTTCTCAGTATTTTTCTTGTTTTAATTTCTATGATTAATTAGTTAGCCAATTACCATAGCTAAATAGTGTCACAATGGAAAAAATATGTGGTTGAGTGTAGTTGGTATACGGGTGTAAGAAATTGGGAATATGATAGGTTGGAGAGGAAAATCTGGTTTATGGGTTTTTACATTTAAAAATTATATATATATCCTGGTTGATAATCACCAACTATTTTCTTGAGCTTTAAGCTATCAACATCAACGTTGTTCACTGTGATTAGTTTTTTTACATGTTTTTTAATGTCTGTGGGATTTTCTGAAAGTGCTTGGAACTAGCCAAAAGTTCATAGAATAATAACAACTATGGACAATTTTTACATTCTTTAACCCCTGAACAATGAAAAAATGTTAGAATGCTGGAAAAACTCAAGGTTAATTAAATCTTCCTTATCGGACGTTTTCAATATATATATATATATATATATATATATATATATATATAATTTATTACTTCAAATATTATTTTTAGTGGATACCTGTATTATGCTTCATTTTTTTAAACACTCAAGAAAATCTAATACAGAAAATGTACCCTCTAGCAGGATTTGAACCTCTGTCCCACTCATGAGAAACCACCATCTATCTGATCAGTCATGCTTTGACTGCTCAGCTATGGAGAGCTTCACAATGAAGCAAAATTCTATTTGCCTTAATATACATTTTACTCATTTATATTTAAAGCCAACAGAATCTTGCTTGACTGTGAAGCTCTATGTAGCTGAGCAATCAAAGCATGTTGGACCAGATAGGGATTTCTCCTGCAAAGGGGGATTCCAATCCTGTTAGTTTCTCGAGTGTGCTGACTGCTAGACAAAATAAATTGTTTAAAAATGCAGTGTCTATTCAAATGTCTAATTTTTTTAATTTAAGAACATTCAGAAATATTTCTAAGGCTAACAGTAAAATTCAAGGCAAGCTATGGAGGATTCTAAGTGATGTAATTTAATGCCTAATAAATGAAAGTGAGTACATGTTGTTAGAATTTTGATCTAAAAAATACCACACTTATGAAAAACCAATTTAAGAATGCCACACTTATTAAAAGAGAAAATAACTTAGATTTGTAGGATCAGACGACAAAACGTATTGGTAAATAAGTTTTCCTTTTGTCTTTATTCATATGTACATATATTTTATCATTTTAACCATTATTTTTAGTGTGGATGCCTATATTTGCACATCTATTTTTAAACAGTATTTATTTTTATCAATGGGTCTTGAATATTCAAGAAATCTTAAAGAAAAATAGACGGTTATACAAAAATAGAAAGTACTTTAAAAACAATAGTTGGTAGAGGAATATAAAAACTGTTTAAAAAATAAATGGGGCATCTCGTCAGATATGGGTATCCATTAAAAATAATGGTTAAAGTGATAAAAAAAATCTGCTAGATTAATAAATATAAATTCATTACTTCAGAAATTCATATGCACCTCCATGAAAACTATAAAGAAGTAAAAGGTAAAAGTTGGAATATAAAAAAAACAAAATGGCTGACTTATGTAATTTGTGTTTGCAGTTACTCACACCTAAACATATCTGATGTGATGATGAACTTTGAAAAAATAATATGAACAACATGCATCCAATTGTTTGTGACAATCAAAGAAAGTCAGATAAAAATCAAAATTTAAGCTTTTATACATCATGATAACATAAAAGAAAAATATTAACAGATCATTGGGCTTGTATCTTTTAATCACATATATTCACTTCTTCACTAAATTTGTAACTGTCATTAATCAATCAATAGCTGGATAAGATTATTTTTATCTGATAATTATATATTTAATTATTTTTTATTGATTTTTATATATTTTATTTTTTAACTTTTTATTTTATCATTATTTATTTTATATAAATGCAAAAATAAAATCAATGTAGAGTTGCTTCCCTTGAGCCGTGAGGATTATTTGCTTTTATGTCAAATATTTTTAGTTCAATTTTGCATAGGACACCTATTAATGATGGCATCAAGATATGGGGAAACATTTAATATTTATAGTAAAGTGAGCTTTTCCTTAATTGAGTAACATTAAATGTTTTGCAGATCAAACCTTCTTCCAAAATGTGATCAGTGCTCTAAGTTAATGATTAAGCAGTGATTTATTTTTCTTTTCATAATTGGCATTAATTTCTATATTGATTTTATGAATTCTTAAGTTTAATTCCTAGCATATAAATTGACTCCCAGAGGTGTTAAGTTGAAGCTCAATTTTAGCAGGTAAACTGAACTTCACAAACTAAGTTTGCATCATTTCTATGAAATTGTCTCATTTAAATAGACTGACATAGTTTGTGAGTTGAATATTAGACTACATTGATCACTGTATAGGAAATATAAAAAAATATATAACTGATGTTAACAATAAAAATATAAATACAGTGACTCCTCACTTAATGACTTGTTTAATAACCTCAGATTAACAAGCAGCTATAAAATCTAATAAAATAAAAAAAAGTTTTTAAAAAAAGGATCCAACCACTGAGTTTTGAAGGCAGGTCAGAAACTTTTATTGGGGAAATTTTCTCTTGTAAATCAAAATTAATAAAATGAAAAAGTGTAAAATAAAATATATCTTACAGTATGCAAACAAATTAATGTACAGAATATGGAACTTATTTTCAAATTTGTTTATTATGTTTAGTGATGTGGAATTGTTGGCAATAAACAATAACAAGAAAAGAACGAGGCAAAAAATAATATAAAGCAAGCAAACAATATATGCAAGGCAAATTAACAGTAATAAGGCAAGCAACAGTGACATGGCAAAAAGTTCACAAACTAAGAATTGGGGTTGACACACAAAAGCAAGTTTAGAAAAGTGGATATAGTGTTCTGATTTCAAGACATGACAGACCAGGACTATGTCAGATAAAACTGAGAACCGGCCTATTTTATTGGCTAGGAAAAAAAATCCTGTCATGCATTTGTGCGCATCTGCCTATAAAATGGGGAGAGGCAAGTATTTTGCATTCATTCCCAATTGGATTGAAACAAACAAGTTATGACAGTGTTATTTGTTTGATCCATAGACATTTCAGTGTTGTATATATAATTATTAGCACCTTTACACACACTACAATGTTTTATGCACTTTACACACTTTACAATATTTATACACTTTACACATGTTGCAATCTTTTTATACAGTTTACATACATTTCACACACTTTACACACACTACAATGTTTTCGTACTCCATTTTATTGGCATTTCCTTCTCTTGGGACATTTTTTTGTACAAAGCACAAGAGCCACACTAGGTAGAGGGTATAGAGTAAGAGGTATAGTTTATGGAGATATTGGGGAGATATTGGTTGACACTAGACTTCATTTAGCAATAATTCAAAACCAGGTACATAATGGTTAAACTTTTGTAGTTTTTAGCTGGAGATCATCATTTGTAATAATAAGTAAAGGGTATGCCAAGAATGATGAAAAATTTGGAATTCTAAATTTATCATCTTTTGATCTGTTGATTCATAATTGTTCTTGTGCAATGGCAATACCATGTGGGGTAATGGTTAACAAGTTTGTCTTGCTAGATCATTTATGACAGAATTGTGAGTTCAGTTCTCACTCAGTGCCCTGTACTTGTGCCACATCTAAGTTACACTTAGAAAATCATTAGTTCAATTTAATGTGGTGTAATGGTTAGTAAGTTTGTCTTGCTAGAGTAACTGTAGTGGAATTTTGAGTTTGATCCTCACTAGGTGCCCCATGCTTTCAACCTTGTGCCACATTTAAGCTACACTTAGAAAATCATTAGGGCAGTTCAATGTTGTGCAATAGTTAGTAAGTTTGTCTCACTAGATTATTTATTGTGGAATTGTGACTTTGATCCTCACTGTGTGCACCATACTTTCAGCCTTGTGCCACTTCTAAACTACATGTAGAAAATCATTAGAGCAATTCAATGTGGTGTAATGGTTATTAATAAGTTTGTCTTGCTAGATTATTTATGGTGGAATTGTGAGTTTGATCCTCACTGGGTGCCGCATACTTTTGGCCTTGTGCCACTTTTAAACTACACTTACAAAATTACCATGTTATTTCTTCTGCAATAACATTCCCATTATGCAAGAAAGACTTAATATTTTATTTTATTTTATATTATGTTCACCTTGTACAAGACTCAGGAGCCACTTGAGGTAGTGGGTTACAGGATAAGAAGAACAGTTTATGCAGATATATTGTCAATCCTAGAGTCAGTTCCACAAAACAGAAGTTTACAAGAAGAAGCTGCTTGAGTGGAACTTAATCTCACAAATGGAATACAAAGGTAATGAGAGTGGTTTGCTACAATGGCAGGTCTTGGCCATGAAGATTTGAATTGGAGGAACTAAGGAATATAGTGTGTCTGAGCATATATAAAGCAGTGAGAGGTTTGTAATGTTTTGTCTGTGAGAATAGATTTGGAGGGTGGAAAATAATTTATTACCCACAAAGATGTGTAGACACTTTTGGTCTCTAGTAAGACTGGAAAGTGTAAACTGGGCAGCTGTTGTCCATATATGGCAGCAGTACTCTTGATCTGGCTCTTGTAAAGCTAGAGGTTAGTACAATATGTCAGGTAATTACTGGACTGGTACAGAGAACTGACTATTTTTCCAGTATATTTGCTGATAGATCATATGTATGAGTTCCACTTGAGGCCTGCCTTGAGTTTAAGACCCAATAGGTGCTCAATGTCTGGAGCCTCCCTGAGGGAATATCCATTCATTGTGATTGGTAATAACTCAGGGTCCATTGTTTCTCCTCTGAACTGTTTTTGTTGCCAAAGTATTTGTTTTTTTTTTAAGGAGCACATAAATGGTTTAATTATTGCAAATGTCCTGGCAATAAAATGTATTTCATTCTACATTTGTTAATCATGTCTTCTACTTCTTGGAAAAATGTCATTCAGTAAATCCTGTAGATACTTCTTGTCAACTTTGGGGGAGCAGGGCAGTAGGTATATTTATAACCCCTTTCAACAGTTTCTGGTTTGATTGAAAACATATATCCTCAACTTGAGATATCTATATCTGATTTGCTTTGATTAGTCAAAAGGGTCCAGGTTAAATTGTAGTTAAAGGTCAAATTGTCAAGGATGTAGAAAAGTTGTTGATTTAAAAATATATATAGCTCTGGCCTGTCTACCAACCAGCTGTGTTCCATGATTTAATAAGTTTTTTATCAAATAGATTGTTTTTAAATATTTGCTTGTTATCTGATTTATTTTCAGGAAATGCCTTCTAACCAAAAATCAGATGAGAAAAAATTGCCTTCTAACCAAAAATTGGAGGCAGAGGAAAGTGTCATTTCTTCTTTGCTGGAATTCAATTTAGGTGAGACAGAATTTACACTATTCATGACACAAAGTGATCATTATTTTCATGCCTTTTCCTAGTCATTTGTTTATCAGCATACTTTTTTTTTAAATCAATAAGATGCATTAAGCTGATTAAATACAAGATAAACACTTAAAAGATATATATATATATATATATATATATATATATATATATATATATATTGCCAGTTAAGGCAGTCCTATATATGTCATATGTAGTTCACTGCATTTGGTTATTCTGAACTTTTTGAAGTTTTAGATTGAATATTCAATGGAAATCCACTAACAATTAGATGAAAACAAACAATATAAAGTTTGAATTAAATGAAGACAACAATTTAGAAATTGCAGTGGAGCAACTACCAATCATTAATAAATCACATTAAAAAAAATTTAACAATTAACTCACTAAAGGTAAATTTTTCATTTTAACTCATCTCCTCTTGGCATCAGGTTAAACTGACTTTTTCTTTTTCCACATATCTAAATTAGCTGACACATTTTTCTTTCCACATTTTCTGACCATTTTGATTAAAATCCATATTTTCTTGATTTCAGAGGTAAACTTGTAAATTTTTCAACATATTTCAGTGAAATTTTTACTTATTAAAAATTATAGTTTACTTTGGAAGTCCATAGTTTCATTGTTTTCTGGTTTGAAATTTCTGGTAAACCTTATTTCTTAAGTTAATGATTAAGTGAGTTCTATAAGAATATCCACAAAAAAATTCCCCTATCACCTCATTAATTATTTGAAACAATCATAAATATGAATTCTGGTCATTATTTTGAAAAATTAGCTGGTACAAATCAAAAGATTTGAAATTAAGAACTTTTTCCATTTCACTGAAACAAATGCTAAACACTTTTATCTTCTCTTTCTTTCTTTCATTTTCTCACTAGAAGTGTCTTTTCATCTCTTTCCATATGATGAAAATGCAATAGTCCATTATTTTTTAGGTATTGGTAGGGTGTAATATTTGGGCAAACTAATGAAGAAAGGGACAAGCAAAATTTTTATATAGATAATTTTAGATTTGCAACATATATAATGACATTTGAAATACATTTAATATACATATATAAACATTACATACATTATGTGTTTCAGAAGTTCCCCCAAAAAATAACAGTTTTTAAATATATAAAACTTTAGGTAACCAAAAATACTAGAAAGCAAGACAAATTATATATATTTTTTATAAAGAAAGGCAGAAATATAACTTTAAATATAACTTACCATGAAACCCAAATGATTGTAATTGAGAGTCTTATCATCAGCAGTCTATTAAGTTCTTATCCAGACAATGTTCCCAAAATCTGATCAGCATGAATGCTTTTCAACATGTCCTCATAAATTAGAATTATAATAATAAGAAGAATAATGGCCAGCTACTTACTTCTGAGTATACCCATGTATCTAAATGATCCCTTTTACAGAACTTTGCTCAGGCACATTGTGTTTATTCAACACCTGTAGAGCCAAACTGCAGTTTATACCAAGTATTAACGTTAGTTACAGTTTCTGGGAGAGAACGTATAATCTGGTATAAGCAGTAATTGCAGACCAGTATGCTTAAACCCTTGGTATGATTACTAGTAACTTTCTATTGGTGTAACAATCAACAATTTCTGAATAGTTTTGTCTACTCAACCTGTGACATAATTTGTAGACACTTCCCAACCTCGTCATATGCCGGGATTGTGCCACCAATTTGATATACTCAAGAAGTTACCCCTTTGACAAATCAACAGTGGTGAGATTTGAACCTGGGCCACATGGTTGGGCTTCTAATGTTCTAACCACTCAGCTATGTACTCATCATAAAATATATGTGACAACTAAAATGTGTGTGTATCTATCTATCTATCTATCTATATATATATATATATATATATATATATATATTTATAATAATGCAATTAAAAGCAAAATAGATCTGTATAAGTTCTGAAGTCATCCCTGTAAACTATAGGGCCACCACCTCACCATGCTAGGTTTTTACATATTGGAATTGTTAGCCGCATGACCAACTATATTTGAATTCAGAGTTGTCCATCTCCTAAACTAGTTACTAACCTCAGTTAGAAATCCCAGTCTACCTTGCTATTAATCCATATTTGAGAGGATAGATGGAATCATACCATTCCAAGAGTATTTATAGAAAAGTGAATGCAAGGACTTTGGTTGAAATTTGATCTCAGCCACTCCCAATTTTCATGTCTATAATCACTACACCATATGCACATCCATCTGTGAAATATAAATCTTAAAAACAATTATATTTAGATGAATCATTATCAGTTGTTAATAGTTTTAACAAGTGATTTTGTTTTCTTTCATTGTAATTTGTAATTACAATAAAAGTAACCTATATATTTTTGTAATATCCTATATATTTTTGTGATAAAAAGCAAAGATAAGATGAAATAAAAACTTGTCAAAGTGCAACCCATAAAATCCTTCAAAATAATACTAAATTGAACACTTAAAATAATGATTAATATATGTAAATACATCTGAAATAGTTTTTAAAGAAATGTTAAATTTAATATCATCAAAATTTGTTGAGTCCAACAGAAAAGAAAGACAAAATTAAAATTCTGCTTTTTCAACCCAGAAAATCTGGAAGGATTTGAAAATAATTCAGCTGCCAATTATGATTTTGTTCAAGGCTTTTTATTAATAAATCTTTTATTTTGATTGATCCAAACGGTATTCAATCCGACATTGTCAGTGTTTAATTCTGATCAGTAGTTTTAATTGATTCACAGTTATCTAAATGAAGCACAAGACTCAATGAAACATTTCCTAGGATTCTTTTAGCAACTTTATGGCAGCATTTCAGCTTCACAACTCTCCAGTCACATCCAATAAGCAATGCCTTATCTGATCTCCAAGCTACAGATTTTATACTTTGTAATTGTCCCTTTTCTCTTTTCTCTTTGTGCTGCTAGTTTGCTTTCTCCATCAAACTTGGTGACAATGGTGGCACCTGCTCACATATGAGTATCTGGTGTTGTCATCATTCCACCCTATTCCTTTTCCCTCCACCTTGGTGGCAGTGACAGAAATGGCTGTGAATCAGAGTTTGACAAGGCCATTCACATAAATTTGATTTTGGTAAACAACTCTGTGCAGTGGACATGCCCACACATTTATAAGCCATACATATTTATAAGGCCTTTTAAGGACATATTAGGTAACCTTTTAAGCCCACAACTTCAGGTAATTGAAAAGTTGTAACCCCTCTTTACAGATTGTTGAATATTTTCAGGAAACAAAGAAGGAAAAGTAAGGTGTATTCCTTTTTCCAGCTCATATTTTGTTTGACCTTGTCTTATTAAGTTTTTCATTTTGTAACAGCAAATTCTCACAATCACAATTTCCTTCTATTTCTTGTTATGTTAGTGGTTGCAGGGGTTTGTAGGATTGATTTGATTCCTTTTTGCCATACATGTTCAGCCAATCTTGATTTCATAGTTCCTTCATAGACAATGGCTTTTCAAGTTCCTTCAACTAGCTTTCCAGTATTCACTTTTATAGTTAAATAAAATATTGTTCACCACATTCTTAATTGTCCTTTCTTCTAAAAAGTGATGCTAATTTAATAAGACATGTTGTTAATGTAAGGTAGAGAGACTTTTTGCAGGTCTTGTCCTCAAAATCTGCATATCTATTCATGGATATTAAGTATTTAGTACAATTATATCATCAATAATGATGATGAAGCTTGTAAGCACTTTTGATCACACTAGGGAATGCTGGGATCAAGACGGATCCAGTGGGCAGTTTGAATAAATAAGTTGTTAAATTTATCATGTTTCATGTTGTTTCAACTTTTCAGCAGTCAGTCTCATGTAACTTAATGAAACACTGAAGGAACGATCAAGTCAGCAGACACTAACAAAAGATTGTATATTGTGACAACTAATCAAGGGGAAACATATTTCATTTTCAGGTTTTGAAAATAGACTTTTAAGAAAGAAACCAGTTAGTGATCATTACAATGATCTTCAAACAAATACAAGAGAAAGTACTGGAAAAACTTGGAGTGGACAGAAAATACAAACTTCAAAATATCTGTTTGATTTTGCAAGTGGATTGTAACCAAAACAAACTTTGATTTGTAATTATTTATTTTGTAATTAGGAAAAATTAGAAATAAATTAATAAAGAAAATAAACTACCTTAAGAAGGTGGGGGTGTTACAACAACATAATGATGATTGTAAGCACTTCTGGTTCCCCCTAAAGAATGGTCCCACTAGGTCAGGACAGATCCAACAGGCATTTTGAATAAATAAGTTGTTAAATTTACCACATCTCATATCATCTTTGTGTCATTTCAACTTTTCAGTGGCCAGTCTCATATAACTTAACTTTCCACACTAAGCTCAGTGGAACAACTAACAAGGAATAATTGTTTAGATATTTCTTTCTCTTCACTATTTCATTCCAGATGACTTGAACTCTTGATTTCTTCATGATATGAGCACATTCAGGAAAGTAAGTTTCTTCTTACTTCACTCTACTGAAAGTTTCATGCGTTAATCTATGGCTCAGTCGTACAGTATAAAAGTATTAATGTCTCAATCATGTGATTGCACATCTAAGATCATTTTCTCAAACTATTTCATGTGAATAGTTTCCTATAGCCATGTCATTTACCAGCTTATCTGTATAAATAAATTTCTATTGTACATCAAGATACTGATATATTCAGTTGTAGTTCTTTGCCATAATTGTGATATTAGACAAATTCACAATGTCAATTTGTAGGGATCTTCCAAGCGTAGCTCAGATGTGGCACAAAGCCGAAAGTATGGGGCACCCAGTGAGAATCAAACTCACTACTCGGTCGTAATAGTTCTAGCGAGACAAGCTTGCTAACCATTACACCACCTCAAGGTGTCTCACAATGTCAGTTTGTATAGAATGAATGAAAGTGACTTCAAATATGATTCTTTATGAAACATCTATTATTTTTAAATCTGCTTACTAATTGAGCAGAATTTTTCACATTCAATTTAAATAATGCCATTCCCAAAGTCTAGTTTAGTGGGTCATATATTAAATCCTCGTAAGTGGTGACTATCTTAATGGAATGTATTTGTGGAGTAGTTAGCCATGGTCAAATGCAAAATAATGAACAGAACTGTCCAACAAAGTTTGAAAGAAAAAGGAATAGGGCTAAAATGAAATAATATCAAGCAAACAGCTTTAATATTTCAATTATTTTTTCTTTTTTTTATATTATCATTTTTTTCATTTTTTTCTCTCTTTGAATCTAACCTCACTAATATGCATACATTTAGCACAATTTGTTTCATACAAGATAGAAAGAAATTGGACACTACTAGTGTTATTAGTTTTAATAGTTTAGACCCACTGACTGCCTACAACAGTTTTACCAGGTGGAAGCTCTGTCAATTCATATGTATTTATTTTTATGACAGTTATTTCTTTATCTATGGCATCTTGCCATTTTATAGTGTCACTTGAAGTAATAGCTTCATTATAATTAGTGGGTATATTCTTTACTGAACAACAATAATCTATTGTCAGATTTATTATGTCATCCAAATGTCATCAATGTAATCTTTTAAATATTCAGATATATTTTTGTAACTTGTTTGGATATCGTCTATTGGATATTTTCGGCACTAGGACTCTCTTATATTATCGCTTGAATCCTCCAGTGATTTTTCTGAAAATAGTTGAGAAGTATTGCATCATTTTCTTCAACTGGAAGTAAAGAATTGTCAAATTAGGATTTTTCAAAGTTTTCAGTAAATTTTACACACCTGACTCTTTTTGACATTTTTAGTTTCAGGTATATATGTTAAATAGGCAGGACTTGATTTATCATCACCTATGATTTTTTTTTTTTTACCTTTAGTGTTCAATTTCTTTCTGTCTTGTATGAAACAAATTGTGCTAAATGTATGCATATTAGTGAGGTTAGGTTTGTGACCTGTGAATATTTCCAAGTCAGTTTTTCAGTTCTTTGACTGTGACACTGATTTCTAATATATGCAATATCATAATAGCATACAACCACAAAAACTTTGGTAGTTTTGATTCTATTAATAAACATCTAATTATTTCAAATAGAGATTGCTAAGATTGTTCTGCAGTACTACTTTGGTGTGCATAATTAGACCAGAATAATCGTCCATGAAACAAAGTGTATATTTTATATATACACAGTGTATAAAGATCTTGGTTCAATCAGACTGGCTAGATCCCAATAAAGAAGGTGTAATATTTGAGTTGCTCTTTTGTTAGGTAATTTGTTTTTATACTGTACCATTTTGTGTTGGATACATATTTTGCAGTTTAAATTTGGGTTATCAGCAAATTTTCATGCTTTCCACAACTTCTTGTAGCTGTCTTTCAAATTGCAATGTCCAAGAATCTGATGCCATTGTTTTAAGCTATGCATGTAAATTTTGGAGGTTATTGCAGTATTTAAATAGTATAAGCATTCATTTCTTTTTAAGTTGCATTTCAAACAAATTAGGGTAAATAAGTTCTGAGTAATTACAGCCAAATTTTATGGAAGCCCTTTTTCAATAGTAGCTTTTTACTGAGAATATGCTTTGTTTGAATGGAGGGATATATAGAGTATTCATTAAAATGCTATCTCGCATATTTCCTTTCATTCCTGTTATAGTTACTTGAACATTGCCCCTTTTTAAAGCTTAATATTACTGGTTCAACTGCTGTATCTGCCAGTTGAATATGATGAATTTTTGGATTAAAATCATTATCATAATTTAGATTCATCAGTAATCACATACGTAATAGCACCATCAGTCAACAAGTAAACTGTTTTTGTTTGAAATGGTGTCTATTCCAATTGAAAAAAAGAAATGAATGTTCACTATCTGAAACATATTCCGCATCTTTTATGAAATGAGCTTTCCTTTTGTTTCTGCATTTGGTACTTTGATGCCCAGGTTTTCAATAAGCATGGCAGATAATATTTTTGTTTAGTGAATTGGAATTACATCATTTTGAGATGGAATTATTTACTGTGTAATTCTGAAATTTACTTTGACAATTGGGGCTTTTATGTAGATGTAAAACAGGTAGGAACATTAGCTTGTGGCTTTGGTCTTGGCATTTGGAGAGTCATTACGGTATTTTCACTGTTATTCTCCTGAATCATCTTTCCAGTTTCTTTGAAGCTTTGCAATGCTACTTTGAATTCACTAAATGTTAGTAGTTTGTCTTGCTGAGTTATAAATGGCTTGAAATCAGACAGGAGGCTTCTAGGGCCAAAGTTATTAGCAAACCATCACTAATTATCTCCCTTAACATTTTTAATAAAGTGAACATGTTTTGGGCTCTAATAATATAATCAGTAATAGTTTCAGTATTTGTTTTGCATAGAAAGATTAATTCATTATTTTTGTTCTTCATTTTGTTGAATAGTGCTCTCTCAAAATTTGCAGTGCTTTTCTGTCATCATCAGGGGCTTCTCTTATAATAAGCGAGAGACTTCAAGTTTCAATAATTCCCATCGTTCATATTTTGATTCATCACCATTGAAACAGTCTATTTCTGGGTTGATAACCTGTGGAGTGAGTAGCCATGGTCAACAAATCAGATTTAACAAAGTTTACAATAAAAACAAAAAGGAACAGGGCAAAAATAAATGTCAAGCAAGCAATATATACAAGTCAAATTAACAGTAAGAAGGCAAAAAGTTCACTAACTAAGAATTGGTATCAACAAATAGACATATCATTCTGACTTTTTGACAATGCAGTTCGAGTCATATCAAACTGCAAAATAGTCTATTTTATTGACTAAGAAAAAATCCCAGCATGTATTTGTGTGCTTTTTCCTATAAAAGGAGAGGCAATTGTTCTACAGTCATTCCTATGTGGATTGAAATCAACAGTATTTCACTAAGATTATGAACATATATATGCTTTACAATTAAAAGTATTGGACTTTGATTTACTGACAGAGCATTTTCTATTTCCCAATATCTTTTTCTTTCCAAGATTAGATGCTTTTCAATTTACAATATTTTCAATTAGACTTTCTAGTTTCAGTTTTCAATTTAAGTTGTTGCTTTGTTTTTCTATCCATATTGTATTATTAATCACTCCAATGTGATCCTGATTAATAATACACACATAGATGACATCATGTGGATGACAAGAAAATATTTTTTATTTGTGCAATGTGGAGATTTTAAGTAAAATGGAAACAAAAAGGACGCACTTGTAATGAGAATCAGAAAGTGAGAGATGAAAATTACATATAAAAGAAAAGGCATTGTAATTAGGAAAGAGGGCTTGGAGAATTTGACTCTCACAGGACTAACTGAAAGTAAGTGGGACAGAGAGAAACAGCATGTAACCTCGCTAATGAGCTTATGTAATGCTAAATCCATGTCATTCTCAGCATCTTTCTCTAGAACCACATCTCCATCTATGATGAATTTATCCAGTACTCATTGCCAAGTAGTAAGATTGATATCAGGCACTCTATTCTTTGTTTCTAATGAAATTTTCCTATTACTTTGTTTATCATTTGGAAGGCATCTTTCATTATTCCTAAGTACCTTTGAATTCTTTGGCACATTTTCTGTCATCCATTAAAATACTTCCCAGATAATTAAAATTCTGTATTTTCTTGTTTTTGTTAATTCCACTTCAGTTGCTAACAACTTGGGCTGTTCCTCTTGCTGACAATCATATATTCTGTTTTCTTATATTCTTTATTTTCTTGGGTGATTTCTTCTAACTTTCCTTTTGTACCTCCTCTAAGAAATCCTGACATATCCTGAAATATTTACTCTTTTATTTCTTCTTCTTCAAATTTCAGATAATTCCGGAGAGGAGATAACACATTATCCGCAAGTAGCAGATGATCCAGAATTAGCAAATGATATGCAGTGTATCCGTGATAGTATTCTCTCAGAATTTATTGAAATCACACACTGTAATGACATGGACCTGGCTAAATTAATTGTCGAGAACCAACATTGGCAACTGGATAATGCTGTAGATGAATATTTTAACTATAAATGAATATTTTACTTAGTTTTTATAGAAAAAGAGGATGTTTGAGAAAAATAATATATTTATCTTTTGTCATGTCTCTTTTTTTCCGATATATACACACACACACACACACACACACATTTTTGTAGGATGTATAATAATATCCAAAACAAAGATAGAGATGATGAGACAAATCGGAAAAGCTATAAACTATGTTTCTCTGACATTCAGATATCATTAGCCATTATCAAAGACTTCTGTTTTTGTTTTTGCACAATGTCATTTTCTTCAATTTCAGATAAGGTATTTCTAAATTTTATGAAATCTCTAAAATGCTATTCGAACCTTAAAATATTTACATTACTATAAAGATAAATGCTAAAGAAATTACTTAAAAATTTCTTTCTGGAACTTAGGAAATATAGTACCCAGAATTGGAAAATATAAAATGCAATAATATATATATATATATATATATATATGAACATTTGATTAGTGTAAAAAAATATTCACTGAAGAATCATATTTAATATTTATTTTTATTAATTTTATTTTCAACTTTAAATAATTTTAAAATTCTTTATTAAAACATTTTTTAAATCAATTTAAACTATTTTTAATAAATTTTTTTTTCTATTTCAAGCAAAAAAATCATCAGTTTTCTGTAATCTGTTTAAATATTAAATGTGTCATTTAAATATTAAATGTATTCTTTAAATTAACAAATTTCAGATCAAAAAGATTAATATTTGACACCTGTAAGATGACAATAAAATATATTTGTTTTGTCACTCATTTCAGAATTAGGAAATGAAGTTAAGTTTTATACTATATATGTATACAGTAGCAGCCATAATATAAGGACCGGAAACAACAAAGGCATAAATATGTGTATTACTTAAAAAGTAATGCATGATTAGCAATGAAATTTTTACTGAATAAAGATTAGGGTGTAATGCATAAATATTATACAAAGTTACAAAAATTTACATAAGAGTTTTTTTTTAAATAAAGATTAAATGGAACAAAGGAAATAAGCTACTTCACTATTCACTATAACAATTTTTGGAGTAATAAAATATATATATATGTGTGTGTGTGTGTGTGTGTGTGTGTGTGTGTATATACATGTTTACTTTTCAGCATCAACAGATATTTGAAATAATTCCCTATTGAAAAATGCATCAGTAAAAAGGTGAATATCTTTACAATTCATACAAGTATACACACATGCATGCAAACATACACACCCACGCATATATATATATATGTGTATGTATGTATGTAATAGGTCTGTTATCAAAATTTAAAGTCAACAAAATGATAGCAATATTGTCAATAAAATTTTTAACTGAATTGTATCACAAAGCAATAGGTTTTAATGTTTTTGAATATGCCTGTGTTCTTTTTCAACGATACTAGGAATAAACAAAAAGTTGGACTTACTCTTCTGAAGAATGGTGTTGTTGGTTAGAGGTCTCCCAGTGGAAATTATATTCTCTGAGTAAACCCAAATCCCTGTTTAATACCTCCATGTTTGAATTTATTTTGAAAATAATTTTCAACTCTGATCTGCATGTTTCTTTTCGGTTGTTGAATGAAGATGCTAAAAGCACGCATCTGATGTCATCGACATTGTGAAATGGTTTGTTGAAGTGGACAGTGATGGAGAAATTGTTGTTCTTGTCACTGATTGTTTTTTTTTCTGGTTATTGAAGCAAAGATGGAATTCTGTTCCAGTTTATCCAATGTAATTTCTTTTTTTGCATTTATGGCAGAAATGAACTGTCACAATTCATAGCTGGTGGCTTGAATACTACATGAGTGCCAGAAGGTGTGAAATTTCTATCAGTGATGTTATGTCTACAGACTTGGCATCGGGGTTTATTGCAAGTCAAATAAAAAAATATGGGAATTCTTTTTTGTTTCATAGATTAGGAAAATATTTCTATTTTGTTTGGAAGCCTTAGTAATTGATAGTTTTAATCATATATATATATATATATATATATATAAATAAAAAGAAAGAAAGAAGAGTAAGATATATAATCTGGTGTTCTTATAGATATTTTTATTTTTACAAAATAGTGCTCAATGTAAATTTACAGAGCATTAATATTATAAATTAACTGATTTAAAAATATGTTTTTTTTTCACTACACAGTTCTAACTATGTTTCAAAAATGGAAGCTAAAAGCTTAGAATTTAATTTTGTAATTAGATTAAAGGCATTAGTTCCATTTCATCCTCAAGCGAATTTTGGAGTAACTTATTTTTAAATTTAGTGAGTTTTAAAGGCACAGCAAAAATCATAATTTACAGTTTCCAAGGATACAGAGAAATCCATTCATCCAGACAAGGGGTGGTTGTGCGTTCATTTATATATATATATATATATATATATATATATAATTAGAGATAACAATAAGCAGCTCCCAAAAGAGTCTGCTCCAGATTGCACATTGGAAAAAGAGTGCTCAATAATAAATGGCAGCGCTTTAATATATTTTAATTCAAATTACAAGTGGGCAGTGACCGACAACGACTACCAGTTTCATGCACTTTCATGCAATCATCGGAAGTTGGAAAAAAAAATTCCACCAGAAATGGTTTACTGGTGCGGCAAAAAAGTACTCAATGTCACAGGGAACAATAGCACTATAGGAGCTTACAGTGTCAAGCAAAAAAAGTGCTTCTTTTTTTTTTCTATTTTTGCTTTTTTGATCTTGGCCAGATAGGTTACCATTCCCCTGGTGAGTTTGGTTGGCTTACTATCTTGGACTTGGCTGGTGGTATAAGAGTTCTTGTTTTCCGAAACTACCAACTGCCTGATGATTGTACAGTGCATGAAACTGGCAGTCAATCAGTCACTGCCCACTTGAAATTTGAATCTTATTATAAAACATGAGATTGTGTGTGTGTGTGTCTGTAACGTTTATATATTGGATCAATTTCCTACATTTTTCAGCCGATTTCAACAAAACTTAACAGGACTACATAAAATTACCTTGTGACGGTTCTAACGGCGCGAAAATGGGAAAAAACATAATTGTTTTTTTAACAAAATCAATTTGAAAACACGATTAAGACACATATATTGAGAATGAAAGGGGGACAAATCTCACCCACGAAAATGTAAACAAAAGAGCATAGCATGATGAAAAAAAGCCGAAATTGTGTGAAAAACTTAAATTTTTTCTCGTCTAATGTTCATATTATTATTAAAGAGGAAAGATCAAAAGTATTTTATATATATTTTTTTTTACATTTTTAATCGTTCCTAACATGTCTGAAATTTTCATTAAAAATATTGTTTTTTTTTTGGTAAAAAAAAGGACAGATAATCATTTTTTCGATTTGATAAAAAAGATTAAAATCTGACTTTGATATTCTTTTTAAAAATCAATTATCATTTTTTCAAAACTGATTTTAATAAAAACAGAAATTATACTGTTTATTTAAAATATTTTGAACCAAGCTTAACTTAGCTTCTGTGATCGAAAAAATGTAATTTGAAAATAAAACAAAGCAGGTCATAACCTTTTGCGACGCTTGATGATTGATGAAAGGCACATTCATGACGTTTAGATAACTTCGGAGGATAATTCTTTCTACGGATGGAAGGAAGTGAAATTATTTAAGTGAACAAATTATTTACCTCGTTATTTTTTTAAGGAAAACTTTCAGCGTTCTAATTTTTTATTTTTTTTTTTGTACTTAGCTTTCATTTTTACATTTACGATGCTTTATGGAAAATATAAAGAAATTAAAAAATAAGACTGTTAATAGTGAGATTAAATTTCATAAGAAAAAGGTATCTAATTAATTTAGATACCTTTCTTATGAAATTTTATCAGAAGTATACATAAAATACTATAATTTTATGTACATTTATTACATTTTACTGTGTTATTTGTATTTCCATTCATTTTATTATTAATTTTGATATTTCATTTATGCATGAAAAAATGTCATAACTGAGATTAATATAAAAATAAGATCATATAAATTAAAGTTTAGCAGTAGTTAAATTTCATAAGATGATACTGTTACTTGATAGGTACCCTTCTCAGCTGAAATTGAAAAACTCAAATTAACTTCTCCATACGTGTTTCTTAAAAGTAAAAGGGCTTAACAGCGGAGAACAATGCTGAACTCAAATAATGCAACTAAATTGTATTCTGGTTGGTCTTCCGTACTTGATAATTACTGTCCGACTATAAACACAAAAATTACATTTCTTAATTACCATGGCTAATCTGATTGGTCCAAATTATACAATTTTCAAAGCGCTAGACAATGACAATGGATACATGGACATTTTGAAAGGTTGATGTTGCTTTTTAACTAATGTTAAAATATTTTTAAAAATTCAATTTAAAATTTTTTAAAATCTTTTTAAAATTTTTAAAATAAGAAATAATTGTATTAAAAAAAATTCAATTTTCATTGAAAAATTTTTTGCTTTCAGAAAATATTGTCCATATTCATAAAAACAAATTAAAACAAATAAAAGCATTTGAAACTAAATAAATATATTTGTTTTATTGAGTTTTGTATGTTACAATTCACAGCTGATTTTCAGGTACACAAAAAAAAAAAAAAAAAAAAAAAAAAAACCTGATTTGCATTCTTCAAAGCCTTGTGAATTTTAACTATTGTAATCACTAAAACCGATGGTCTCGAATTTCTAGAGTTTTTCATAAAATTAGTTATGGGGGTGTTAATAAATATAAAAAAATATTTTGCCATGACTAAAAAAAAAAAACATATTTATAATAATTTCGATCATCTGTGAATAGTTTCTGAAAGTTTCATTAACATCTGACAATTATTTTTTATTTTTGCAAGATTTTCCAAATTAATGTGTAAATACAAAAAAAACGCTAAAATTATCTATGTTATTTACTACCCCTTGTTGCGACAAAGAGAAACAAGGTTTTTAAATCAAAATTTAGAATATTCTAAAAGATGGAAAATTTTTCAAAAATAATTAAGTGGTAAAAATTTAGTCTATCCTCTTCATAAAAAACATAAGCATTTTGACGATAAAATTTTGTTTTCATAAACTTTGGCGTCTTTTTCATCAGACTATGCTTTATGTTTTAGCGATTCTGTGGAGTGACTTAGTTTAAAAACCCAGGTTGTGTGTGTGTGTGTGTTCCTTTATATATGGGATCGGATTTCTTACATTTTCAGCCGATAAAACAAGCATCCACTTTTTTTTTGGCAGGTAGTATTTCTTATTGTCTTGCAAATCTTTTTTCTTTATTTATGCATTCAGAATGCTTTAAAAATTCCATTTAAAAGACAATTGTTTAATAAAATTCTAATTCTATTCAATGTGGGACTCATCATAACGATATTGAAAACAAATTTTTTTGTTTGAGTTTGACCAATTCGTAAAAAAAAAAAAACTTAGTCATGCATTGTCCGTCAACCTAAAAATAATCTAACGATCTCTACTTTGTAAGGAATCGATAAAATCGGATAATTCTTTATCTTTAGGGAAAGATAATTCCCGTACTTTAGGGCCGTTTTTACAATTCCCTTTGCAATTTTTTACAAGGCAGATCAATAAGGCATTGGTTCTATTTGAAATTAATTCAATATTTAAAAGAAAGTATTAAGAAATAATTTAAAAATGCCGACGTAAGAAATCTGATAGACAAAAAAAACAATATTTCAAAGATGATAATTATTAAGGAAAGAACACAGTACTTGTAATAAATTAATAAACCCAAATAAAGTTAATATTTTGTATTAGAAACAACGAGTGGAAAATATATTCAAATCAGAATTCTAATTATGAATCACCACAAAGCAAAATATGCATTTTTTACTGTATTCAATAAGTAAAAATCATAAATTGTAAAAACTAAAAAGATTACAGAAAGGCTACCTACATTTTTTCAAACCGATTTCAACAAAACTTCACTTTTTTTGGCATGTAGTGTTTCTTATTGTCTTGCACACTTTTTTCTTTATTTTTACATTCAGAATGCTTTAAAAATTCCATTTACAAGACAATTGTTTTATAATAAAATTCTATTCACCAATCGATAGACTTATAACGATTGTAAACAATGTTTTTGTTTGAATTTGGTTTGACCAATTTAAAAAAAAAAAAAAAAAAAATAATAATTAGACAGTGTCGTCAACCTTAATCTTTGTCAATTTTATTTTCAGTCTTTATGATGGTCGATACTTGATCTATCTCTTGCTGTTACATCCCCGGCAAGTGGGGCTCTACTGCTAGTAATTTAATATATATAACAATTCTGCATACTTATTAAATCTGTAATAAATTTACACAAAGTGTGTTTATCTGTCAATATGAACTTTAATGAAAAAAACTATTTAAACAAATAATGAAGGAAATAATACTATTCAATTGAAAGTTTTCCAGTTGTTATCAACTAATATATACCATAAAATCAACTCCATATTTATTGAGAATCAGAATTTGAGAGATGAAAATTACATATAACGAAAAGGCAAGTAATTGGGAAGAGGTTGGCTTGGATTTTGAGGCAGAAAATTATCTAGATTAAATTTGGGACCAAAAGAAACAGCATGTAACTTGCTAATGAAAATATTAATGCTAAATCCATGTCATTCTCAGCATCTTTCTCTAGAACCACATCTCCATCTGAAAATGAATTTAAAAGTACTCATTGCCAAGTAGTAAGATTGATATCAGGCACTCTATTCTTTTGTTTCCTAATGAAATTTTCCTATTACTTTGTTTATCATTTGGAAGGCATCTTTCATTGTTCTAAAGTACCTTTAATTCTTTTAGTCATTTTCTGTCATCCATTAAAAAATACTTCAAGATAATTAAAATTCTGTATTTTCTTGTTTTTGGTTAATTCCACTTCAGTTAACATGTATCCAGAAAGAAATGGGCTGACAAAATTTGACAATCATATATTCAAAAATTATATTCTTTATTTTCTTGGGTGATTTCTTCTAACTTTCCTTTTGTACCTCCTCTAAAAAAATCCCAGCACATATCCTGAAATATTTACTCTTTTATTTCTTCTTCTTCAAATTTCAGATAATTCCTTCAGGAGATAACACATTATCCCATTTGTAGATGATCCAGAATTATACAAATGTTTATGCAGTGTAATCCGTGATAGTTTCTGAAATTTATTGAAATCACACACTGTAATGACATGGATTTAGCTAAATTAATTGTCAGAACCAACATTGTTTTGGATAATCTAATTAGAAGAATTTTTAACTATAAATGAATATTTTACTTAGTTTTTTATAGAAAAAAGGATGTTTGAAAAATAATATATTTATCTTTTGTCATGTCTCTTTTTCCGAAATATCTCACACACACACACACACACACATTTTGTAGGATGTATAATAATATCCAAAACAAAGATAGAGATGATGAGACAAATCGGAATTTTTATAAACTATGTTTCTCTGACATTCAGATATATATTAGCCATTATCAAAGACTTCTGTTTTTGTTTTTTGCACAATATCATTTTCTTCAATTTCAGATAAGGTATTTCTAAATTTTGTGAATCTCTAAAATGCTATTCGAACCTTAAAATATTTACATTACTATAAAGATAAATGCTAAAGAAATTACTTAAAAATTTCTTTCTGGAACTTAGGAAATATAGTACCCAGAATTGGAAAATATAAAATGCAATAAATATATATATATATAATATATATTTATATATATATATATATAATATATATATATATATATATATATGAACATTTGATTAGTGTAAAAAATATTCACTGAAGAATCATATTTAATATTTATTTTATTAATTTTATTTTCAACTTTAAATAATTTTTAAAATTCTTTATTAAATTTTTTTTTTTAAATCAATTTAAACTATTTTTAATAAATTTTTTTTATTTCAATCAATTAAAAAAATCATCAGTTTTTCTGTAATCTGTTTAAATATTAAATGTGTCATTTAAATATTAAATGTATTCTTTAAATTAACAAATTTCAAGATCAAAAAGATTAATATTTGACACCTGTAAGATGACAATAAAATATATTTGTTTTGTCCTCATTTCAAATTAGGAAATGAAGTTAAATTTTATACTATATATGTATACAACTAGCAGCCATAATATAAGGACCATTTAAACAACAAAGGCATAAATATGTGTATTACTTAAAAAGTAATGCATGATTAGCAATGAAATTTTTTTACTGAATAAAGATTACGTTTGTAATGCATAAATATTATACAAAGTTACAAAAATTTACAATTAAAGTTTTTTTAAAAAAAGATTAAATGGAACAAGGAAATAAGCTACTTAACAATTCACTATAACAATTTTTGGACTTAATAAAATATATATATATGTGTGTGTGTGTGTGTTTGTGTGTGTGTGTGTATATACAAATTTTACTTTTCAGCATCAACAGATATTTGAAATAATTCCATATATAAAAAATGCATCAGTAAAAGGTGAATATTTTACAATAATACAAGTATACACATGCATGCAAACATACACATATACATATATATATATATGTGTATGTGCCTATGATAATAGGTATATTTATCAAAATTTAAAATCAACAAAATGATAACAATATTGTCAATAAAAATTTTAACTGAATTGTATCACAAAGCAATAGGTTTTAATGTTTTTGAATATGCCTGTGTTCTTTTTTCAAGCGATACTAGGAATAAACAAAAGTTGGACTTACTCTTCTGAAGAATAAATTTGTTGGTTAGAGGTCTCCCAGTGGAAATTATATTCTCTGAGTAAACCCAAATCCCTATTTAATACCTCCATGTTTGAATTTATTTGAAAATAATTTTCAACTCTGATCTGCATGTTTCTTTTCGGTTGTTGAATGAAGATGCTAAAAGCACGCATCTGATGTCATCGACATTGTGAAATGGTTTGTTCTTGTGGACAGTGATGGAGAAATTGTTTTGTTCTTGTCACTGAACTTTTTTTTTTCTAGTTATTGAAGCAAAGATGGAATTCTGTTTCAGTTTATCAAATAATTTCTTTTTTTGCATTTATAATTAAATGAACTGTCACAATTCATAGCTGGTGGCTTAAATACTACATTTGAGTGCCAGAAAGGTGTGAAATTTCTATCAGTGATGTTATGTCTACAGACTTGGCATCGGGGTTTTTTAAAGTCAAATAAAAAATATGGGAATTCTTTTTTTGTTTTTCATAGATTAGGAAAATATTTCTATTTTGTTTGGAAGCCTTAGTAATTGATAGTTTTAATCATATATATATATATATATATATATAAATAAAAAGAAAGAAAAGAAGAAAAAGATATATAATCTTATGTTCTTATAGATATTTTATTTTTACAAAATAGTGCTCAATGTAAATTTACAGAGCATTAATATCTAAATTAACTGATTTAAAAATATGTTTTTTTTCACTACACATTCTAACCATGTTTCAAAAATGGGCTAAAAAGAATGTTTAGAATTTAATTTTGTAATTAGATTAAAAGGCATTAGTTCATTTCATCCTCAAGCAATTTTAGATAACTTATTTTTTAAATTTAGTGAGTTTTAAAAGGCAGCAGCAAAATCATAATTTACAGTTTCAAGGATACAGAGAAATCCATTCATCCAGACAAGATTGGTTGTTCATTTCATTTATATATATATATATATATATATATATAATTAGAATAACAATAAGCAGCTCCTACAAAAGTCTGCTCCAGATTACACATTGGAAAAAGAGTGCTCAATAATAAATGGCAGCGCTTTAATATATTTTAATTCAAATTACAAGTGGGCAGTGACCGAGAAACGACTACCAGTTTCATGCACTTTCATGCAATCATCGGAAGTTGGAAAAAAAATTCCACCAGAAATGGTTTTACTGGTGCGGCAAAAAGTACTCAATGTCACAGGGCAAAGCTTTATAAGGCTTACGGTGTCAAGCAAAAAAATTTGCTTCTTTTTTAAATTTTTTTTTTTTGATCTTGGCCAGATGGTTACCATTCCCTGGTGAGTTTGGTTGGCTTACTATCTTGGACTTGGCTGGTGGTATAAGAGTTCTTGTTTTCACAAACTACCAACTGCCTGATGATTGTACAGTGCATGAAACTGGCAGTCAAGTCAGTCACTGCCCACTTGAAATTTGAATCTTATTATAAAACGCAGATTGTGTGTGTGTGTGTGTCTGTAACGTTTATATATTGGATCGAATTTCCTACATTTTTTAGCCGATTTCAACAAAACTTAACAGGACTACATAAAATTACCTTGTGACGGTTCTAACGGCGCCGAAAATGGGAAAAACATAATTTTTTTTAACAAAATCAATTTGAAAACACGATTAAGACACATCATTGAGAATGAAAAGGGGACAACTCACCCCACCGAAAATGTAAACAAAAGAGCATAGCATGATGAAAAAAAAAGCGAACTTGACGAAAACAAAATTTTCTCGTCTAATAATGTTCATATTATTATTAAAGAGGAAAGATCAAAAGTATTTTGGGTATTTTTTTACATTTTTAATCGTTCCTAACGTCTGAAATTTTCATTAAAAAAATTGTTTTTTTTTTTTTGAAAAAAAGGACAGATAATCATTTTTTCGATTTGAAAAAAAAAGATTAAAATCTGACTTTGATATTCTTTTAAAATCAATTATCATTTTTCAAAACTGATTTTAATAAAAACAGAAATTATACTGTTTATTTAAAATATTTTGAACCAAACTTAACTTAGCTTCTGCCGAAAAAATGTAATTTGAAAATAAAACAAAGCAGGTCATAACCTTTTTTTCGCTGATGATTGATGAAAAGGCACATTCATGACGTTTAGATAATTCCGGGAGGATAATTCTTTTCTACGGATGGAAGGAAGTGAAATTATTTAAGTGAACAAATTATTTACCTCGTTACTTTTAAGGAAAACTTTCAGCGTTCTAATTTTTATTTTTTTTTTTTACTTAGCTTTCATTTTTACATTTACGATGCTTTATGGAAAATATAAAGAAATTAAAAAATAAGACTGTTAATAGTGATTAAATTTCATAAGAAAAAGGTATCTAATTAATTTAGGCACCTTTCTTATGAAATTTTATCGAAAAAAATACATAAAATACTATAATTTTATGTACATTTATTACATTTTACTGTGTTATTTGTATTTCCATTCATTTTATTATTAATTTTGATATTTCATTTATGGAAAAATGTCATAACTGAGATTAATATAAAAATAAGATCATATAAATTAAAAGTTTAGTAGATTAAATTTCATAAGATGATACTGTTACTTGTAGGTACCCTTCTCAGCTGAAATTGAAAACTCAAATTAACTTCTCCATACGTGTTTCATAAAAAAGTAAAGGGCTTAACAGCGGAGAACAATGCTGAACTCAAATAATGCAACTAAATTGTATTCTGGTTGGTCTTCGTACTTGATAATTACTGTCCGACTATAAACACAAAAATTACATTTCTTAATTACCATGGCTAATCTGATTGGTCCAAATTATACAATTTTCAAAGCGCTAGACAATGACAATCTCACATGGACATTTTGAAAGGTTGATGTTGCTTTTTAACTAATGTTAAAATATTTTTAAAAATTCAATTTAAAAATTTTTAAAAAATCTTTTTTTAAAATTAAAGAAATAAAAATAATTGTATTAAAAATTCAATTTTCATTGAAAAATTTTTTTGCTTTCAGAAAATATTGTCCATATTCATAAAATCAAATTAAAACAAATAAAAGCATTTGAAACTAAATAATATATTTGTTTTATTGAGTTTTGTATGTTACAATTCACAGCTGATTTTCAGGTACGTTGGCCAAAAAAAAAAAAAAACAAAAAAAACCTGATTTGCATTCTTCAAAGCCTTGTGCTTTTTAACTATTGTAATCACTAAAACCGATGGTCTCGAATTTCTAGAGTTTTTCATAAAATTAGTTATGGGGGTGTTAATAAATATAAAAAAAATATTTCTGCCATGACTAATAAAAAAAAAAAAAACATATTTATAATAATTTCGATCATCTGTGAATAGTTTCTGAAAGTTTCATTAACATCTGACAATTATTTTTTTTTTGCAAGATTTTCCAAATTAATGTGTGTAAATACAAAAAAAAGCGCTAAAAATTATCTATGTTATTTACTACCCCTTGTTGCGACAAAGAGAAACAAGGTTTTTAAATCAAAATTTAGAATATTCTAAAAAGATGGAAAATTTTTAAAAATAATTAAAAAAAAATTTAGTCTATCCTCTTCATAAAAACATAAGCATTTTGACGATAAAATTTTGTTTTCATAAACTTTGGCGTCTTTTTTCATCAGACTATGCTTTATGTTTTAGCGATTCTGTGGAGTGACTTAGTTTAAAAAACCCAGGTGTGTGTGTGTGTGTTCCTTTATATATGGGATCGGATTTCTTACATTTTCAGCCCGATAAAACAAGCATCCACTTTTTTTTTTTTTTTTTTTTTTTGGCAGGTAGTATTTCTTATTGTCTTGCACACTTTTTTCTTTTATTTATGCATTCAGAATGCTTTAAAAATTCCATTTACAAGACAATTGTTTAATAAAATTCTAATTCTATTCAATCGTGGGACTCATCATAACGATTTGAAAACAATGTTTTTGTTTGAGTTTGACCAATTCGTAAAAAAAAAAAAAAACTTAGTCATGCGTGTCCGTCAACCCTAAACAATAATCTAACGATCTCTACTGATTATGCGAATCGAAAAATCGGATAATTCTTTATCTTTAGGGGAAAGATAATTCCACGTACTTTAGGGAATTTTTACAATTCCTTTGCAATTTTTTACAAGGCAGATCAATAAGGCATTGGTTCTATTTGAAATTAATTCAATATTTAAAAAAAGTATTAAAAATAATTTAAAAATGCCGACGTAAGAAATCTGATAGACAAAAACAACAATATTTCAAAGATGATAATTATTAAGGAAAGAACACAGTACTTGTAATAAATTAATAAACCCAAATAAAAGTTAATATTTTTGTATTAGAAACAACGAGTGGAAAATATATTCAAATCAGAATTCTAATTATGAATCACCACAAGCAAAATATGCATTTTTTTTTACTGTATTCAATAAGTAAAAATCATAAATTATAAAAAACTAAAAGATTACAGAAAGGCTACCTACATTTTTCAACCGATTTCAACAAAACTTCTTTTTTTTTGGCATGTAGTGTTTCTTATTGTCTTTTTTTTCTTTATTTTACATTCAGAATGCTTTAAAATTCCATTTACAAGACAATTGTTTATAATAATAAAATTCTATTCACCAATCGATAGACTTATAACGATTGTAAACAATTTTTTGTTTGAAATTGGGTTTGACCAATTCGTTAAAAAAAAAAAAAAAAAAAAATAATAATTAAGACATGCGTGTCCGTCAACCTTAATCTTTGTCAATTTTATTTTTCAGTCTTTATGATGGTCGATACTTGATCTATCTCTTGCTGTTACATCCCCGTGCAACGCCGGGCTCTACTGCTAGTTAATATATATAACAATTCTGCATACTTATTAAATCTGTAATAAATTTACACAAAGTGTGTTTATCTGTCAATACTTTAATGAAAAAACTATGTAAATAAGATAATGAAGGAAATGATCTTTTCAATGACTCACAATATAATTAATATTCAAGTTTGGAATGGATTATAAAGCAGGCAATTTGTTTCCTATTAAGGGTTTTATTCCTTAAAGCAATTATCAAAATTAATAATTGATTTATTTCACAAATCAATTATTAAATTACACTGAGATACGAAGATTGAGATTTTTATAAACTTATAAATTAGTATTGAGTTTATTTTCTGTTTACACCAATAATAACCTGGAATTATTTAAAATCTTATTCTTCATTCTTTCTTAATAAAATTATTAAATATATTTTTGTTGTCTTGTAATTTATTTTATTTACAATCTCTCATGTTTTATGCAAATTGAAAACTGCACAAAATGATAATATTGTTTTATTGCTATCTTTGTATTAAAATGCACTTTTACTGTAAATATCAACAGCAGTAGAGCAAATGATCTTTGCAATTAAGGGCAAGTACACTTTTGGTGTTTGTTACCTTTAAAATGTTTTGATTATTTAATTTGTGACTAATTACCTACTAAATGATAACAGTAATAAAGAATTAATTACTGCCTGACACAGGTTGAAAATCAAGCCTCATTGTTCTGAGAAAAGTTGATCTATGGTGACTCCAATTATGTACTGGGCTCAGTCTAAGAGATACCAAAGCAGGCTTTGATGTCACATCATATCATGAAAAGAACTAGAAGTTTGATATGGAAGGTGAGCCCATAGGCATCAGAAATAAAACCTCAAAGGCTATCAGTGTTTTCACTGACATGTAAGCAGGAAATTGACCCAACTGAGCTTATCATGTGCACACACACAGGACAATAGGTCATAAGTGCCTCACCAAAATAAGAATCTTTTACATCCTTACAAGAAGAAAATCAAATTTTGAAGAAAAATCCCCAAATCACTCACCCTTATTACTAGCATTAATTATTGTAATTCAAAAGTGAATAAACAATAATTGTATCCCATATTTTTATTATTACAAATACAACAACATTACACATCCAATTAACTCCTTTACATCAAAATGTTGTACTTTTCATCTACTTGAATGAAAAATAGGGCACAATTATTTATCTGAAAATCCTAGACAAAATAGATTTGAGAATAACAGCACAGTACACAAACTGTTATAGCAACATTGTGTTAATATAGGAAAATACACTATGAACTTTAAATATAGTCACTTAAGTCAATAATATTGTTGTTCATTTAACCAGTGGCTTGTTAAAGATAATGTAAATATCCTGAAATGGCCAAGTCAGTCCCCAAATTTAAACCCAATTGAGAATCTGTGGTGTTATTTGATAATTCAAATCCAATCGAAAGCACCAATAAACATCCCAGATCTTAAGACCATATACAAAGAGAAATGGAACAAAATACCAACTAAAATTTGAAAATCATTAATTGGCAAATACAAGAAGAGGTTGGTTGCTGTAGAAGTGAATAATGGCAATTCTACAAAGTATTAAATGAAGATTATGTATTCTTTTTTGCATTGTACAAATACTTTTTTCACTCATTAAAATGGATAACTGGGATTTATTTCTATTGAATCAATTTTTTTCTGTTTTCTATGCATATTTAGTTATTATGCATCTGTGTACAGTTAATTATATGAAAAGTATGTTTATACATTAGATGTGACATCAAATAAATGTGACTATCTTTTATATTGCCTAACTCAGCTGTCCTTCCTTTATGAAGGTAACTAATTTGCATATTCAGTTTTAAAACTCAAATTTTTATAAATAACTATTATTATTGCTATTTTCAGTCTTTTGTGACCACTACAACTAAGTAATTGTTTTGTTTTTGACATATATAATTAAAATTGTATCTTTATTCAAATAAATCCATTTCTTTTCCTGAAAGTATTAGCCAAATTAGCATTTAGTAAATGAATACAAACAAGCAATATATAAAGAAAACAAAGTTCACATTTTTAAAAGTATATTTTGAAAATCTAATATAACATGCTATATACGAAATAAACAATGACACAAATATCAATTTCACTGATACTACTTCACAGAATATGTAACTCTCTCAAAGTGCAGTTGAGTAAATGGCAGGCACTTGGCCCAAGCAATGCCAGCAATCATTGCAAGTACTCAACTAAACCATTGGTTGGTGTAGCTATTATCCTCAACACCTAAACTGGGGGCAAATTTGTTTTGAGATTAATTACCTACTAAATAATAACAGTAATAAAGAATTAATTACTGCCTGACACAGGTTGAAAATCAAACCACAATATGAAAATCACACAATAGTAAAACTGGTGTTAATGAAGTACAGCCAATTATATGTATGTAGTGATATGCAAATTAGTATAATTTGCATATGAGCAGGTAGCTTATATGATAAATGGACAACAACTAGAACAGAGGTCGAATGCTTACTTAGCAAGTTTTTCTTGTCTGACCGTGTTAGACATTTATTCTGTCTCTCAGAGGATTTTTATTCTGAACTTTTGACTGCCTTAATTTAGCTAAGTTTTGATTTATTTTACCGTTTTTCTAACGTTGCTTTTTTGACTTTTTGTTAAATTTTTCATTTTTCTAACGTACCTTTTTTGACTATTGTTTATGATTTTTTCCTTTTCAATTCCTTACCCTCTTTTTTTAACGTTACTTCAGTTTTGCTATTAGTTATACCCTTTTTTATTTTTTTCTTTTCTTTTACGTTTTATTTTTTTATTTTTAAATCTACTTTCTTCCCGTGCCCACACCCCGGAGTTTATCTGTTTATTTTTCGTCTTTACGTTTTTTGTCCGACCTTTTTTTCCCTTTATTTATTTATTACGTGTTAATTATTTCTGTGTTTTTCATTTAAATATCCGTATAGATTCTGCGTTTTATCTGTTAATCACGTGTGTATAATATTTGTTTTTCAATTTTGTGTTTAATTTGTAATTTCTGTCCTTTTTTCCTTATTTAACGTTTTTGTTGTTGGGTTTTTTATCGGCAGCCATATTGTTAATTGTCACATTTTTAGTTTCGTATTTTTTTTTTTGTATAGCTTTTTTTTCTTCTTATTTTTCCGTTTATAACTTTTCGTTTTATTGTGTAATTTGTTGCTTTCTTGTCTGTTGTCCTTTTAATTTTTGTTCTTTCTTTTTTGTGAACCTTGTTCACTTCTTCTCGTCTGTCCATTTGTTTTGCGTTTTCGTTTTATCTGTTTATTTGTTTTTCCTTTAGGAGAAACTTGTTTCTTTTTTCGTCTTTGTAATTTTTTTTACGTCCTTCTGTTTTACTTTCATCTGTCGATCTTTGTTTGTTATTTAAATTTGTTGTCTCGCTAATAAGCGAAACTTTATTTTTACCCCCACCTTTTTTTTGTTTCGCCTTTAGGCGATATTTTTCCTTTATTGTTTTTTTCTAATTTTGTTGTATAAGTGAACCGTGTTTTTTCTCGTCATGTAATCCCTTTTTGTGTGTGCATATTTATTTTATTTTTTCTCGCTTTCGGGTGATTTTTTTGATTTAATTTATTTTTTGTCCATAAATTTGTTTAACTATTCCCCCCTCCTTTTCTCCCCCCCCTTCTGTTAAAAATGGAAAAAAAAGGAATAAAAAAGTTCCTTCGTTTTTAATTGTGAAAAAGAAGCCTAAAATTACTACTTTTAAACGCCCATGAGGAAACACCTCTTTAACCCCAAAAAAGACCCCCAGACAAAGACAATAAGGATGAATATCCTGATCTGCCTACAGTGCCAACAAATGAGGAGATGGTGGATGCTCTGAAAAAAGCCTCCAAAAATTCTCCAAGAGGCGGAAAACCAAAGAATAGTGACCAAGTAAAGACAACTCAACTGCTAATGCAGAGGCCGGGAATCGCCCTCTTGTTGGAAGTCCCCTCTAAATGCATAATCGACATTGCGGAGTTCTTGGATCGTGCCAAGGGTTACGCACACCTTGTGATGGAAGGTGGGCTCTTGCAGAATCCAATAGAATTGAAGAGAGTCGAGAAAAGAATAGTGTCCGTTTTTGTCGTCGACAAGCGATCTCGCAAAATTTGTCGTTCGACTAAAGACACAGTGTTCAAATCACTGGAGTCCCTGGGGTTTAAGCCCCTCCGAATTGTTAAGGGCAAGAAATTTTTCATGTGGGACGTGCTGCTGCCCACTGCCGATGATTCTATAAGAGAAACAACGCGGGATCTGATTACGAAGGATCTGATCCTTCGTACAGAGTACGAGGGACGGCGAAGGACCAGGGTGGCAGTTTACGAGGTTCCTCCTCAGGTTATCGGGGAGCACCTGGCGGCATTCTTGTCCCAGTATGGCGAGATTCTGGGTGCTTCTTGTGATAGCCTGACCGGGGGATGGAGCTTTGAGATGATGCTCGACCATAAAGCCTTCAGCTCTATCCCCAACTGTCTTGGCGTCGGTGACCTGAAGCTGCCTGTCATCGTGACCGTCCGTAAACCAGTTTGCTGGAAGTGTGGAGTGACTGATCACCTCTCCTCTTCCTGCCCAGAGAAGAAGGCCTCTGGAGCTCAGGTCCCAATTAACCAGACTTCCCCTCTGACCGAGTCTTCTAAATCCGCCACGCCTGTAATGGGCACGCCGGCTACCAGGACCTCATCAAAGCCCCCATTCCCCGAAGAGCCTTCTTCCACTGCAAGTGTGGTTGAGGAGAAGGAAAAGGGGGAATGGCAGGTAGTCGGCAGGGCCAGAGGGAAGCGTCAGACAGCGGGGCCTCAGTCCCCTGAAGCCTCGGGGACTAAAGACACACACAACTCCACTCCCTCTGGCAACAGTAAGGGCGATGCCCCGGCCTCAGACCAGAACATTGAAGATCTTAAAAGGAAATACGACCCTGGATACAGTAAGACAGAAAAGATTAAAGATTTAAAAATTCGACTTGATAAACAAAAGAAAGCAAAATCAACTCCATTTGAGATCTCTCCCACCTCGCAGGCTCCACAGCCCTCTACATCCCGTCCAGCAAAGTCCCCCTCTCCAAAGAAATCCACTCGCTCCTCATCCTCCGACCCATCTCCTTCTCTCCGGCCCTCAACCTCTCTTTCTAGAGTGAAGCCTCCTCTTGTTTTCCCTTCCATTTCTGCTGCCCAGCCCCAAATTCCTCTCAGTAGAGACCCCAGCCCTTTTAGACAACACTTTACGCCCGGCAACACTCCCAGTCCTTCTCCTACTAAAACTCATGTATTTGCCTCCTCCTTCTAAAAAGACTGAGAAGTCCTACCCTCGAGTCCACGGAGAAAAGAAAAAACCTAAACCTATTTATAATCTAGGCAGGGACGTTTTTTAAAATTTCACCTTCTAAAAAAAGAGAAGGCAAAAGATTATGGGAATCAATTACCAACTTGAAATATCTCCTTTCTATAAAGCAATTCGGAGACAAGGAGATAGATGACCCAATGAGCAAGTCTCTGGGTAAGGCGTGTGCTCTTGTCTTCGCAGATCCGGCGGGCTGGCTTTGCGTGCTGGATGTTACCATAAAGGATAAGGCTTTTCGTCTCATTGGGGTTTATGCGCCTAATGTCCATGCGCAGCAGCCTGGTTTGTTTCGACGGATCGAGCCGTTTTTGACGACTTCTCGTTCGGTAGTTCTAGCGGGTGATTGGAATGCCGTCCTTGATCCCGATATAGATCGTATAGGGCAAAAACCGGGTACTAACAATCCGGATGTGAAATCGTTTCGGGGCTTTATCGACGGGTTTGATCTCGTCGATAAGTACCGAAATAAACCCCAGGAGGTAGCATGGACTTGGACTAGGGGCGGCGCTCGGGTTCGGTGGTTAGCGCAAGCTACATCGACCGAGTTTTAGTTAAGAGAGTCGAAGTAGGGCTCTTAGAATGTCAAGTTTCCATTTTATAGTTTACTCGGATCATAGACTTGTCGGGTTCGGGTAAACTTACATAAGCCTAAGATGGCTGGTTACTGGAAATTAAACTCATCATTATTTGGTGAGCAAGATTTCAGGACCAGCTTTACTAATGTTACAGCGGGAATTGACGGGGGCTGTGGTTGGGAATAAGTGGTGGGACTCTTTGAAATCAAAACTTGGGTCTTTTGCTGCTGATTTTAGTCGACGACTCAATCTAGCAGGGTTAGCAACCAAAAGTCTCTTGAGGGCAAAGTAGATCGGGCGATAAAATCCCGTGATAGTGGGGACATAGCCTTAGCTAAGGCGGAGCTGGCCTCCTTGCTTATCAAGAAGGACCAAGCTCTAGTAGTTAGGGCTAGGATAAAAAGAATGTCTTGTGTGGCTACGAATATGGCCGCTTCATTGCGTTCAGAGGAAGCTCATAGGGCATCTAGTCGGCATATCGCGAGCATCACATTGACGGACAAGCGGACTGTGACTACAGACGCGGGCATTTGCGAGGTTTTTCGTGACTACTTTCAGGAGCTGTTTACCAGGGAGCCCGGTCTGAGCCCTGCTCAGTTCGACGCCTATTTAGCCGACTTTCCCCACCTTGAGGCGGCTGAAGCGGCTAGATGCGCGGGGCCCATAACAGAGTCTGAGATCTGGGATGCGCTGAAGCAGGTTGGCCAGGACAAGACTCCGGGATTAGATGGTCTTCCCTATGAAATGTACTTGAGGCAGTCGCCCGTCTTTGTCCCCTTGCTGGCACTGATTTTCAACAACTGGATGAGGCAGGGGTCTATTCCTCAACGCTTCACCAGGGGTGTAATCAAGTTGCTTCGCAAGAAGAAAGACGGTGGGGATGGGGTAGATAATTATCGGCCTTTGATGATGTTAAATACAGAGTTGAAGATTTTAGCCAAGGTCTTAGCTGACCGTTTGCAGGTTGTCCTCTCTAGTCTGATTGGTCCCGAGCAGACTTGTGCTGTGAAGGGAAGGACTATTCAGGACAACCTTCATTTGGTTCGCTTGATCATCGAGAAAGTCGACAGTGATGCCGCGCTGATCAATTTAGATCAGTCCAAGGCTTTCGATAGGGTTGACCATCGGTTTCTGGAGGCTGTCCTTTCGGCCGCCGGTTTCGAGCCACACTTTCGCACTTGGATCCGACTGCTGCATGCGTCCCCCGGTGCACTGGTAGAAGTGAATTGGGTAAGATCGAAACCTTTCATTTTGTCTCGCTCCATTCGTCAGGGTTGTCCGCTGTCTCCATTGCTTTACGTTCTTGCGTTGGAACCCTTCCTGCGTAAGTTGAAGACGAATCCGGTCCTTCGCGGAATTTCCTTACCTGGTGCTACCACCTCTGCCAGGTACTCCGCCTATGCTGATGACGTTTCGGTTCTGGTGTCGAGTAGGGCCGAAATTAACGAAGTCAGCAAAGAAATCAAGGGTTATGAGATGGTGACAGGGGCCAAGATCAACTGCGTTAAGTCTGTTGGCTTGCGGTTGGGTTCGTGGAAGGGAGTTTCTCTTCCCAGACCTTTCCTCTGGACGGACGGGCCGGTCAAGATACTCGGCGTCTGGTTCGGTCCCGACCTCCTGTTGGAAATGAATTGGTCGGAGGTGCAAGAGAAGGCCGAGCTCGCAGTACGTCTGTGGACTCGGAGGAATCTTTCCTTGAAGGGGAGGGCGGAAGTATGTGCTTCGCACATCTACCCGATTCTCCTTTACCGACTCTCCGTGCTTCCACTCCCGTCTGACACTTTATTGGCCTTTGTAAGGTTCTTGTTCTCTTTCTTGTGGAGAGGCAGGGCCGCCATGGTTAGTCGCGAGATCTGTTGCCTCCATCCTTCTGATAGCGGTCTGGGGGTGCCTTGTGTTGAGACTCGTCGACATACGCTTCGCATTACTTATCTAGACCGGATGTGTATGCAACTGGATGAGAACGGCGAATTCTGGAAGAAAGACGCCCAGAAACATTTTTCATCCTTGAGAAATGTGCCCTCGTGTGAGAAGGAGGCCGGTCGTACTCTTCGAGGCGAGGGCTCTTTCTATCGTGAATGTCGGGTTGCCCTCAAGCGACTCTTACGGGCGAAGGATGGCCTCTCCGACGTCCAGCCGTTGTCTCGTAAGGCATTATATCAGGTGTTTGTTAGGGGGAACGTTCAAGATGCTCTCATAGGCGATCTCGGTCTGACGAAGCGGGAGGCTCGCTGCATATGGCCTTGGGCGCCCGGGTTGAAATGTCTCACTAACCCTGAGGCATCACTCACCTGGCTGGTGATTCGAGAGGGCCTCTGGGTCGCCAAAAGACTTCGCGCAGCGGGTTTGGCTAATTTGCCAAACTGCGTTCGCTGCAGTGGGGAGGTGGAGACCCTAGGTCACGCCTTCTTTCATTGTAGTGTCGTAGTTCCGTTGTGCAAGTTTGTTGAAGATATCATGGTTCGCATGCTGCGTGGAAAGTTCTTTGCCCTCGAGGCCAGTTCCGTCTGTAGCAATATAGTGCCGCCGTTGACTAAGACTGAGCACTATGTGTTCCTTTGCTTACTGGGGGTTATGCGAGTCGTGATATGGACGACGCGACAGAAGGAATTTCATGGGGACGAGAAGTTTACCTCTTCCCAACTGATCTTGTTCTTTAAGCATCAGCTTAAAGTCAAGATCAGGACGGAAAGGAGACGACTCCATCCATTGGAATTTGGCGAAAGGTGGGTGAGTCTTGCGCGTCTCTGCAGAGTGAAAGGTGCTGACTTTAGTGGCATTTTTGATGCCGGTTAGGCATTAAGAATTTTGGGATTGCTGGGGTGAACATTGGCAACCCCTCCCGTGTATAGGTTAGTTTAGGTCGGTTTTGTTTTAGTTATCTTTTCTCTTTTTTTTTTCCATGTTAACTTAGCTAGGGTATGTATGAGCATTGGCCCCTTTTATTTCTGGCCCTATTTTTCTTCTTTTTTTGTTTAATTCCCCATCCCGCCCATCGTTAGGTGGTTAGTGATATCAGTTCTCTGGTGGGTGCGTGGCGCTTTTTCGTTTCAGTGTGTCTTTCGTATTTGTTGTTGTGTTTGATTGTGTGTGTTTGTAACGAGTGCATGGATTGTACGAATGTTTTATATTTTTTTAAGTCCCGCATTGTTTTCGTCCAGTTAACTGATGTTACTGTCACATTTAGGGCTGTGGGGTTTTTTACTACTAACAAAATTTTTGTTTAGTTTCTTGTAAATAGATTTGTATTCATTGTAAATAGTCATTGGGGTTTTTTAGATGTTATTTTATTTCTCCTCCCCCCACAGACAATGATTTGTATATATGGTGACTAGTTAGAACTTCATAGATTCTCTGAGTCATTTTGGTGGAAGTAGTAAGATTGGTATGTAATGGATGTGTTGTTTTGGTGAAAGGAACATTGTTTGTATGTTTGGGTCAGTGATTGCGGCTAGCTAAGTTTAAAGTTTAAGACAGAAGATGACCAGTCTTTCCCCTTTCCCCTATTTCGGCCTTGTGCCACATTTGTACATAGTATAATAAATATTAATGCTTACTTAGCAATATACACGACATAACAATGGCGTCGCCGATAGGATACTCTTTGGTCCTTGAAGACCCAGAGTACGTAGATACGTGGATTCGTTGCTTTTCTGCTAATGCAAGATGTAAAAAGTTGAAAGACAACAAAAACAGAGGAGGGGAAAATGAAATCACCGACTTGTTCATGGCTACAGCTGGTTGTGAAGCGATTATGAAGGTTGCTACAATGGTTTACCCTCGAGAACTAGAAGAAATGACTTTCGAAGAAATAAGTCAGGTTATTAAGGGAAACATGAGGCCAAAGAAAAGACTGGTGATTGCAGAAAGGACCAAGTTTATGGCAATGAAGCAGGAAGTGGATGAACCGATAGTAAAATATTTACACCGGTTAAGAAGTGCGAGTAAATACTGTGAATTCGAAAAACTAGGAACAGGAGAGCAGACAACGGAAGAAGAATTAATCCAACTAAGATTAATTGAAGGTATGCATAATTCAGCACATAGATATAAGCTAACAGTTACAACTTACAAACATGCCTTTGAATATGTGTATAGAATTTATACAACAGCAGGAATTAATACATACCTACAACCAAAATAAAAAATAAATCCTACGAAAAGAAATAATGGCTGAAACATATACGGTACAAACAAAAAAAAAAAATTGTGCGTAC